GGGGGGGGGGGGAATATGATCGTGGATGTAGAGGGGTGGGAGGACGAATACTTTAGAATGTATGGACAGATGGGTGGGATATCCTAAACTAATTTCTAATTCTAGTCTAATAACGGAGATCTGGAGAGCAAGAGTCTAAAGGGACCAGAATCAGAGCAGCTTTCTGTACAATGGTCCTCCACAATCCCGTAATCGTCCAGCAGCTTGTTCAGGCGTGATATCCCGCTGCGGCTCAGCCATCAACTCATACCCAACCAGGAACTTCCTCACCGTCGCACTTCGCAGAAGAGGAGGATAGAAATGCATATGAAAATGCGAAGCTTCAATCTCCTCATCCGTACCTTCTAACGGAGCTTGATGGATCCCAGAACCTACAAAAAAACATCCTTCATCAGTCTCTAACCCACAACTTCCAACCAAGAGAGGGGATACATACTATACGGAAAACTCGTCTCAAACAAATTATCATACCTCCTCGTCACCTCCCCAATCACCTCCGCCAAATCCCTTTTTTCTTCATCCCCAAAATCTACCAAGGCGCGCTTATGCCCCTTACTAATAAGCATCACCTCAAACGGCCACGTCGCCCACCAGGGAACCACCACCACAAACGCCGCATTCTCAAACACCACCCTCTCCCTCTTCTCCATCTCCAACTTCGCATAATCCCCCAACAACGAGCTCCCATGCTCAAGCCTATACTTCTTCATCTGCTCCAACTCCTGCGCCGCTTCATCCGGTAAACCCGTCGTGGTCCAGATTTGTCCGTGGGGATGTGGGTTCGAACACCCCATTGCGGCGCCTTTGTTTTCGAAGATTTGCATCCAGCGGTATTGCGCGGTGGGGGGTGTGATGGTGATTCCGGATGGGGGGAGAGTGGTGGGATGCGTGATGGCGGATAAGGGGGAGTGAGGGGAGAGGTGTGCGGTGTAGATTGCTGTCCAGGCTTGGATTACGGGGAGGATTTCGGGGATGGAGAGGTCGGCGAGGGTGAGGTTGTGGGAGGGGGCGAAGGTTAGGACGTAGCATTTTCCTGTTACGGATTCGGCTTTTAGGAGGAGGCTGGAGAGGTCTGGGGGTGTTGCTTTTAGTTTGGATTTTGTGGTTTGGGGTTGGGATGGTGGGATGGAGAGAGTTATAGATTGATTGATGGATTGATTGGGGGAAGAAGAACGAACGAACCATTCGCATCATCTTCCTGCTTATACTCCTTCTGCACCTCCTTCACTGCACTGTAATCGTTCACGAAAACAAAGGTACTCTCGTACTTTGGATTCGTATCGCCGGACGCGCGTTTGTTGCCGGGACAGAGGTAGCACTTGGAAAGGAATCAATAATCTTCTCTTCTCTTTCTCTCTCTCGATCTCTCGAGGGGTTCTGGTGTCATACCGCAGGATCATATTCAGGAAGTGTACTTTTAGACGGTGATTCTTGCTGTCCTCTAACGCATCAGAATTATATCAGCTCGTATTTCAAAAAGAGAGAAGGGCTTGATTAAGGGTAGCTGTTGAGAGGCGGCTGCTTACTGCCATGGTCTCTTGGTGCGATGAGGCGATACGAGGAGCCAGGTACCCCGCAATGGGTTGTACCTCCGATGCGAGATGTCGTCTAGAATCTTTTCTGGCATCTTGCTTTCTTTTTTTCTTATGCGAAGTAGAAGTAGAAATCGAAACAGAAGTAAAATGCAATATATGCAAATCTCTGCAGGAGGGAAGGGCTGTACACCTGGTAATTTGAGGTTAGGTGGAAATTTCCATCTGGTCATTCACTCCCCCTCCCCTTTATTCGGGCTATTAACGGCCCTGCTTAGGGTGAGTGGGTAAGTGGTGGGGTTGGGGTTAATTGGGGCCGAGGTCTTGAGTAATTAGGTAGGTTCTTTTTATGCACTCTGATTCTGTGAACCCACCTTGAATTAACCTCTCCTTTTTACCCATTCCCATCGGAACTGATATCCTCCTCATTGTTACATGCACTCTCCATGTCCCTCCTCCGTTCCAAATTCTCACCATGAAAATCGCGAGAATGGACGTCTAACAAAATGTGTTGAAAGGCAAGTCACCTTCCTTTACGGTTTAGGAGTTGGTGTGACGTCGTAATGCGGTGCGGTGTGGAAAACTCTCGGAAACTAAATGGATGCAAGGTGCTGTAGGGTAAGATGAGGGCTCGGAAGGAGAGGTCCGATATCAGATCTCATGACTTTCCCCCCTATGTTGGTATTTCTAAGCGACGAAAACCTACTCTCTAAAACACAATAAAATATATAGAATTGAGCAGAAGTAAAAATTAAAACCTGGCTGTTGGAAAAATTGTGAATTTGGAAGGAACTTATATTTCGTAGCGAAGTTGGGGATTTTTGTGACGAGGTAGTTGGTCCAGTCAAGAAAGGTGATGAATTAAACTTTCGTTCTCTGGTGGATGTTTTAATGTAGAAATCAGAAATCCGAAGCTCTGTTCTGGTTTTCGTCTTTGGGAGGTCGAGGAAATTCCTGGAGGTGCAGGGGTCTGGATATGTTCTGGCTGAGAATATTCGGGAGAACTACCAGGAATAAGAGGAAGAAAACGGTCCGCCGCGAAAGAGAAAGCAGTCTGGTATGAGTAAAGAGTAAAATTCAAGATCCTCTAGTATCTACTTAATGGTGGCCCGTCGAATTGAGAGCATCCAAGTGCGAGGAGGATTTGTATACCATAAGGTTGCAGAATTTCGAAAGGCCGAAGAATGTGTAGTTTTCACCAGGCTAATGAAGGAAATGATTGTGATTCAAATATGCTGTATAAAAGGTCTGGGGGGTAAGCCGTCGTAGCTAGCTTTTGAAGACATAATGTATTTTGGATTTGTTGGTACGACCTGGTGGTCGTGACGACGGCGAATACGGGATTCTGATCACCCTCTGTTGGGGTAACTAAATCGGTGTATTCATTTGTTCGTGAAGAGTAAAGGTAGAGAGAGGTGGTACTCTACGAGCTTAAGTATGTGAGTGGCAAGCCACTCACATGACACCAAGCATGTAGAACCACCAGGCTCTCGTATGAGGTGCTAATCACTATAATTATATACCGACAGGATTGTTTTACAACGAGTATGAGGGATCGTTATCGCGTAGAATTTAAGGGGGTGGGCTATAGGACTTGTAATTGTCAGTCTCATTTTTGCCATGCTGCTAAGATAATGTTACTATTACGCCTCATCATTTTTTTCTGATTAATTAATGGGATAAGACTCAAGACACATTGGATATACTCATAAGGATATATGGCTTGTCTACTAACATTCTGTCTCTACTTACGTAGCTAAAACACTATTATCCTTTATTCAAATGTCATTGATAATTATTAAATATTTATAATAAAATGATTTAAGATTATACAACAGAGGTATAACAGTTGCCACAATCGTACCGTCGTAGAGCAGGGATTAGTTCAGGTTGGTTTATTGACATCGTTCGGCTAATTTCCCTAAAAGGGAAGGTATAGCCTACGCGCCACAAACAGAATCTCCCACCTAAATAGAAATAAAAGGATGACTTTCTGGTTCTTTTGATCCTCTTCTTTCTGCTGACTAGCTGCACTTTTGCTCTCACAAACGTAAGTACCCAAGACATTCCCTCTCGTTACAGAACGAATCTATCTATGTACAATAACTAACCTAGGCACATCTTAGACTATTCAAACCCACACAACCACAACAACAACCACAATGTGCGCCCCCTTGCGGGAAAAAGTAGGTCTTCTACCCCCTGTCCCACCACCCCCCTCCTCCCTTCCTATAAAAACCAGAAGAACACCTCTTAACACCACCACCTTCTGTAGAACTTCCAACAGCGCCACAAGGCGCTTATCTCCCAGCTGGAGGAGGAAATCCAGCAAGCAATCGAAGCCGAGGTAGCTCGTCGGGAGATCGCTCGTCATGAGCGAGCTCGGAGGGACGAGGAGGAGCGGGAGAGGGAGGAACAAGACGAGCGTGCGCGGGCGCATGCTGAGCTCGTAAGGGAGCTGGAGAGGGAGGGGGAGCGACGCGATAGGAGGCATTCGTTGGTGGTTGTTTTGGCGTGTTTGGTGATCTTTTTACATGATAGGGAGTGGTTTGGGCTTGGGGCGGTGTTTTGGGCGGGGTTGGCGGGTTTGGTAGGTGGTGCGTTTTGGGTTTTGGTGGGTTTTGAGGTTTTTTAGGTCTTTGTAAGAGGAGGGGGAATAGAGGGTTTGAGAGGGTTTTGAGTACTTGTCGGGGAAGTGAGTTATATGTGATTTATATAGAGTTGAATCTTTGTATACTTTGCTTGATTCTTTTAAGTAATCTCTTTAGTATAATTATAATACAATTTTATTCTTTATTACTTAGATATAATAAATAGATAGAGATATTATAGGATTATATAATATAAGATAGATTTATAAGTTTATTTTCTTTACTAGTATAGGTAATTAAGTCCTTTATCTATCTAAAGCTTAGTACTATATTTATAGATATTTTTATTAATACCTTTATAGAATGGTTAAGTTATTTAGCTTATAGATTATAATCTTATATCTAGTATTAAGTAAGAATAGAAAAAGGTATAAGTTACTTCTATAAGTATTATTATAAGGTAATTTATTTATTTCCCCTATATAATATTCTTTTTTACACATATATAGTCTAGGTATAATAATAGTAACTTAAATAAAAGATAGAATGTTTTCTAAAGATTCACGTTAATTGCTCACCCACAGAGAATCACTGTGGCTTTCAAATGACCGAACGAAGATTCTTAGGTATGTTTTCTTTTGTACATCTTAAGTGGAATGCTATTTGAGAACAACAATTATATATGATATGGGATATGACATTGATGCAAGTAACGAGAAAAGGGAATGTTTACACATGGAGTGCGTGAAGGTATATGAGACCATAGAGCCCCAAGTTTGTACCTTGGGTGGATCCGCAGCCACTTCTGTATCCAAAAATATCAAACAACATTTTACTGAGGTAAGAGCAGTTGGAGTGTGAGTGACAGGGTTCAAGGACTGCAATACTTACCCGATATACCCATAGAATTCCACCTTGGCAAAAAGAAAACCAGAAAAATGAAGCGAGGCATAGTAAGGTAGCCATGAGTTAGAGGTCCTATCAAAAAGAGATGAGTTCGTACTGGAACGTGATCATTCGAGTTTGTGATACTGACAACCCGTTTCGCACCCTCTATTACAAGTGAACCCGGCATGGCCTTATCAACCTGCTGAACGGTCTCGAGTCAGTGATATTGACCAGCTGATGTGGTAGACCTGTAGCCAATGTTATGGCATCCATGAAAGAAGATCACCTAGCTCACTCACACCCAGAAGATTCACTTTCGTCGCTGACCACACATGAAGGACAGGTGGAATTCCCTGACATCACTCACAGAAAATAGATTCATCACCTGCTTCGCGACAGCGGTCATCTGGAAAATCCCTTCTATCTGGGCAAGTCCAGCACCAATCCTCCCATTGTTCTCACATTCAAGGCATAGAAGTCCACAGTCAGTAAGTATTCCTCACGAACCCTTCCAAGACGCCTTCACCCGCCAGAAAATAGACCTACCGCAACGACTATTCCTCTTCATCGCTTTGCCTCGGGGTTGAGAGCATATTCCCGCAACGTTCAATGGAAAATCTACGACAGTTCAAGGTATTGAGCCACCAAAGCAGTCCAGAATTTGGTTATGGCGAAAACAGCGCAGGCCCTGTCAAGGCATAAGGAGGGACATATGGTTTCGTGGAGGTGGCACTCAATGGGACGGGCAACCGCGAGGATGGGGAAGAGAGTGCTGGGACTAGAAGAGCGGCTTCGATAAGAATGATGCTCTCCGCAATGAGTGCTTATGCTAAGGGATTGGTGATGGAACGCGTGGTGCCTATCATGGCCCAGCAGGTCGCGATGAAGCTATACTATGTTTTAGGCCTGCATGTTAGTTGAGCGCTATGTTCGTGGTGGGATTAACTGACAACTGTTTCCTCTTATTTTGATTTTGGTTGTTGCTTTGCTCACTGTGCCGGTCGGGTTGAGATAGGCTTGTTGGTGTTCTATCTTCAATTTGGAGGGAATGGGCTCTTGGGACATGTCTGGGTTCGTGATGGGATTAATCTCTATATGTGCATGAATATGAATGCTCTAAATCTCTATACCTCTAATAGAAATCAGGAGACCTTTATGATCAAATTCCATTCATTATCCCTGAGCACTATAGCAACCACAACGTAAGTGGAAATGGGCTAGTTTCTAACACTATTTCAAGATGATTTTGACAATAGTCCCTCATCATCTTCCACCTTTTACTCAGTACTTAGAATTGATCTGTCCCTCCTACAAAGGTCTGTCCCTGTTTATTAGACATCTTTTAGCAAACAAAAGCTGAGCCGTAGATACTTTAGATACGCTGATGGCGATTGTACTGCACCAAGCAGCTTAGTTTACAAATAATGAGAACTCGCCATGAAATCTTTTCCCCAACCAACATGCTAGGAAGCATGATTTAAATTTCCCCATGCGGTGATAACAAGACTTGGTTCTCTCCAAGATCCCAAAAGCATTTCAAAGGAATGGGATTGTAAATAGACTCAGCCCTAAGTCAAGTCCGAACGATTCGCGAAGCCTCTCCAATTTCTAATCGCTTCCATTGTAAGACATCTCCAGTTGAATGGGCGCGACGAGCTTGCCGTATGTTTCGGCACCTCAATTACACGTAGTAAGCGACAGAATGATGGTTGTTCTTAGCTGAAATCGCATTCTTGTCACCTAGGATACACAGTGCGCGTTCTATCATCTCTTTCTCAATGCAAAAATCACTTGCAACGACATATTAGCAGGCTTCGACCCACTCAAGTCACACTCTCAAGCCCACAAGTCGCGCTCTAATTGGGCGCACATTGCCCAAACCCCCCAAAATACCCGCAATTTAAGCGAAATTTCTATAGATACTCAAACACCACATTTCCCGTCATCAAAACTGGGTACTGTCCGCCTGGACCAGTCAGTTAGTGTGTGATCCCATATGCGTCAATTCCCAAAGCACCAACTCCCATTGCAACATCACCACTAGCTGTTTCGAGATTGTAGATTTGTAGATTTGCTAAGCTAAAAGATGAAAACTCAGTACGTCTGGTTTTCAACCTTGCCAGCCCGCAGGGCGTAGGTTCTTTTGCCGTTTTTTTTGGTCGGTTTTTGCGGTGATTTGGATGATTTGGATTCTTTTTTTTGTTGGAAAGTCAGTTAAATGGACGCGACTACTATGGTTGTCGTGTTGCTCATGAGTAGCGCGTCTAAGGGGAATGGTGGTTGGTTGAATCTCAGATCTTCGCCGCTGGAATTACCCTTGCTTCTCGACGTCACGAAAGCATTTGGGCATTGCATTTTGTCTTTATGGTAAGTTTTGTGGTAGTTTTGCTTTTGTTGGTGGTTCTTTTTTGCTTTTCTTTTCAAGGCTCGCCAACTTTCAACGAGTACACAGAGTATGAGACACAATATTGAGCACCACCTTTACTGTTCAGATCCCGCAATTCAGATCAGGCTGTCGCACTACCACTTCTACATCGGTTCAAGGTTGAATACTCAATTGAAGAATGGGTGTAGAGCGTCATTCATAAAAACCCAGAACAGGAAAAGAAAGGTTCAGTAGATACACCACCACCATCAAACATATCAATTGTAGTTCAGGAGCACTGATCACGCTCGCTCCACTTGCACACCTCGCAGTACAATGAATCATCTCCAAGATACCCGGAACTAAGAAATGATCATGTTTGCCCTATTATCCTCGACGTATTTGTAGGCTCCAGTTGCCAAGGAAAACACGATTACCATAGCCACACCAGCACCAGAATAGAGAATGTCCGTATCTTAGGTACGGACGATACTTCAAACGAGGGGATTTTAGATGGGATTCTCCAAGACTCGAACATGTTGATGATGCAGGCTCGACATGTTTCCGTTTCTAGAGTTGCATATACAGAAACACCAGTGAAGAGCAGCCCCCCCAACTCCTCATTGTGGCCAGAGATTTGTGCTTCTTTTTACTCTCAAGGATAGTATCAAGACAGAAACCATGCTTGAAGTTGCTGTTACTTCCACCAAGGTTAGTATAACAACCAGCCTTTTTTGGCTTCAACCAGTATACAAGGACTCCCTCCACCAGACCTCTTGTTGCTCTTCACTATATTGCCCACTGGATGCTTCACACTCAGGTCGGATATATGTACCCATAAACTTTCGCTTCGTCACACTATCATAGACGTCTTCGCAGTCAACAATTCCGATGGCAGTTGTAGATAGCCTACCATTGCTGATTCTTGCTGATTTTTCAGTGTCATCTCGGTCATACAATGAAGCTGCTTCGACGCCGAAGTAACCCCGTCGCTTAATCCTCCGCCTCAGCTGTAGACATACCACCAGGGGGTGTCAGAATTCTGTACGCAGTCCCGGATTTTGGCCGAAAACACACTAAAAACAACGTTTTTATAACCTTATAACTTAACAACTTTATACTAATAGAGTATATAATACTTTATATATAGGTTCTTTATAGTATACAGACAAATCGCATACATGAAGTCTTCCACTTAACTATAATATTCTAGGAGATATTCTCGTAGAGAGCTTTCCTATGGTAAATACTCTAGTAAATTTACTACTTTTATAGTGTAATAAAACCTTCTCTCTTATAAGAGTTCTAAATAGTAAAAGTTAGAGATATTGCTTGTATCTACCTAATTTATTATTTCTAGAATATTAGGATCGTTCTCTAATTTGTTATAATTTTAGAAAGTAGGGTGGTTTTGGTGGGTTTTCGGCCCAAATCTGGGGCTGCGCACAGAATTCTGACACCCCCTGGTGATACAGTACCACCAGTACCAAGCGCACAAGTCTGCGAGCTCAAAGGTTCAGACCGCTATTCATACAGGATATTATCTTCTCATTCCATATAGGCGTTCTAGTATAGACTTGGGAGAAGAAGTTTTGGAGGATTCGGGAGAATTGAAGTGATAAGACGTACTTATGTAGAACTTCAAACATTCCACCTATTATACCCATACCCAGACAAAGGGAAGCACTGAAACTCCATATTAATTATCTGCAGCCACCCTGAATATTTGACAATCATCTTCCGATTTTTAACTTCGTCTGAGGATATTAACACTTTGTCTTCCTGGAAAAGATGTCTAAATTAACCACATCAGAATTTTGACAATGTTTGTACAGAACCATGCCTTTAATAATGCAGCTATTGGTAGTTAGAGCCAGTTATTCAAGAAGCTATATGGCAAGTCATGTAATAGAAGCTTTTTGAAAACCGGCGTGTGGATAATTGCAACGAGTAACAGATCGCTTTTGCTGTTTCAAGGAGCTAGTGCAATGGATAATGTTTCGTACCGCTTGTATTCTCTATTATGGGAGCGGTCGTGAGGAAGATTCTGGTATATCGACGGGGAGTTTGGTAAAGACTTTGAGAATAGAGACTATTCGTAGCTTAATCAGGATCGAATTCAGATGGGGTATTAGAGCAAGTTGGGTTGTTCCTGCCCAGAAAAGATAACTTGGATAATATCCGATTCATCAAAGTTAATCAACGGGAGGAAGTCGAGGTTAATGATATTGAAGTAGGATATCTGGGAAACGTTTTTGAACAAGTCAGCAACTTATGAAAATGCTGCTAAATCAGTGATTCTTTACTAAAATACCACTCTATTAATTTGAACGGATTAAAAGATCTTTGTGATCTTGTTTTTATATTTCAGCTTTCTCTAATTGGATGTGAGTGAAAAAATTGATAATAAGTATTTTGTTCACTATTATTAAGATTGAAGCGTTCTATTAGTATCTCGCTTGTCTTCACTTTTGATATACCCTGCATTGTAGTAACCACCTCGAGAATTACCCTGCCTCTTTTCGGGTACGCCTAGCTTTGGAAGTTTCCGCATGAGACTTTCTTGAATCTCGGAATCCAAAGTTGACTTTGGGGATTAATAGAAAAATGGGTATTTTTGTCAAGAAAGGCACTTTCTTCTATTAATCTTGGCTTTACTAAAGTATTGGGTACACTCAGGACATATACTGCCTACTTTCTACTTTTGAAACAGGTTCTCGATGGTTCTCGTGACACTAGACATATTAACTTCTTCCACCCATGCATTTATTAACTCTTCAGTTCAAATCTTATTAAGTTTGGCGTCTTGATGCTACAGAAGATCCTTGAGTACCTGTACACTTCTGTTCCCTCAAAATTCGATCTCACTTTTTCTGCAGACAAGGAATCTCAACAAGGAATTGTCAACAGATTAGCACTTTACAAACTATTTGGTCGATGAATGACATCAAAAATAGAATTTACGTAAAGAACAAATCAGCTGAATGATATCTAGACTCTAGTCAGGAATCGCCGTCGGTTGCCTTCCTCTAAATTATAATAAAAAGGGCATTGTCTCCAAGACTGTGAGACTTGGAGTAATACGAAACTCTGTATAATACTCTAGAGACTCTCTAGATATTAGAAATGCTTGATTGAATGCAATGGACATAATATAGCCTTTTTGAGAATGACGACGAATCACAACTCTACTCCAGGGACTCGAGTAGTTATTCTGCTAACCATTTTTATAAATAGCTTATCAATCATTTTCATATGATGTCTTCCTCATACTACCCACTTCGTCAGATATACTCGACAAGAAGTTATCTAGCATGAAATCAAATGATCTGCATGAAATATTCCCGTCAAAACTGGTGTAAAGGTTTTGGTTTGGTACAGTACATCAAGTTAATTATCAGCGAGAAAAATAATTAATTATACAATTTACAAAATGCAGGAACACAAACCCATCTTGGAGACAAGATAGAATGATTCATTGTATCGTAATGATCCCATACCAGCAACACATTCGCTGCGTTCACTTCTGAAATCCCTGCATCAACACACAACAAAACTTGTCTCATCAGAAATGACGAGTCTACATTTTTGGTTGTCATTCTGAAGCATCAAAAAAAAGTCAGAAACCCATATGGGAGAATTATGCTTGAGCACTTGTAGGGTTTGCCGTCATTTCTGACTGTTTTGACGTTTGGTCGGCAATAACTCGGCCTCGCTTAATTACACAGCCGAACGGGACGACATCGCATGCCTCACCTCGATGAAAATCTTCAAATTAATCATACAAGGGTACTGATTGACCACAAACTCTCGATTCTGTACGCGATATACTTGAACCAGTATCATGAAAGTGAATCGCTCAAATAATTGATGTCAAAGAATTGAGGAGGGGAAAATTGGGCTCCCACATTAGCGAGCTCCGGAATTCTATGCGTTGATAAAGTCACCGGGACAGGCACCAGGTTGACATGTTTTAATTTCCAGACGCCCGAAATGAGGGGTAGTGCGGGCTTCACTGTTGATTACAAATCGGCTAGTGGAATCGAAAAATGAAGAGGTCGCGCAGCGCCACCAATATCTCTGCCTTGTCGCATTTGAAATTAATGAGACGGCAGTGAATGACGTCCGCTGCAATTATTGTGGGCGATTCTCAAGCAAACAATTGCAACATGAATATCAAGCGCCCTAGTAGGCTGTTGGGAGAGCATCGAGTTGGCATGGTCACATAAGCATTTCGTGCAGAAAGAACATCACAGTATTCAACCAAAGACAAGAAGAAAACTATTCAAGACTTGAGAGACTCGATTGCTGCTACACTTGCTGGTTCATGACGTTTGGACATGTGATGTGGACTTGGGTTTAAGGAAATTGCGTGGCGGGGTGGGCTGATGCCAAGCTTTCGCGATTACGCGAAAACAACAAACTCGCCTAAAATGAAAATTAAAAACTCTACAGTCAGTGTCAAATTTGCAAGTTTCAAGTACATATTTCCCACCAAGAAGACGGTGGAATCAGGTGGAAGAGCCATGACATCCTCTGACTATTCACCATGGCTGCGAGTACCAGCAGGAGCAGCGTTGGCCGGGCCTAACCGAGTTGCGGCTTTCCCAGTTTCCCAATTTTTGCGGCCTTCGCAGATTACTGCGTCGAGCAGCGACATGTTGCAATCAAACTCGAGTCTCACGCTAGTCTTGATTCGGAGTGTCTAGAGGTGCGTGGGCTGGCGAACGATTCTGGTTGGGTCTGATCTGGCGAGGAGGAGTACCACACTAGTCCCGTTTCGGGGTGTCAACCACCTCCGCAGGGTACGCGAGCAGCATTTCACTGTCTCTGATCTGTAATCAACGAACACGTGAAAATGATCAAACTGAAAGTCATGTGAAATTGCGCAAACTCCCCAAAACGCCACCGTGATTGCAATCACCGCACTAGTGGATTCCCAAGTATAAATACCCCTCCACCCTCCCCCCAAAATCCATCTTCCTCCATCATCAACCAACATCTTCTTCAAGCATCCTCCTCAAGCTTCTTCAAACCTCTTCATCAAACATCCTCCTCCAAGCTTCCTCGAGCATCTTCCTTCTTCAAGAGTCCTCATCAAGCATCCTCCTTCCACCTCTTTAGGCTCTTCATCCTCATCAACATGACTTCTCCACTGTTCCGCACACCTCCATCTCCAAACATCCTTTCGGGACACACAACTCCGGTCCTCCGCTCATCCACACCTTGAGTACTCATGACGGAACAGTCCAACTTGAAAATCTCTCTCCAACTCGTGGGTATACCTCATTCCTTCCCCTCCCCACAACTTTGGTGAATTTAACTGACCACACTCACACACAGCACACAACCCACATACAGGCATCCATCACAACAAGAGTGTCCGATCGGCGTTCCGTCGCGTCCACTCATGGTTGACCATCTCAAGAGTGAAGAGTATCCGATCGGATTTCCTCCGCGTCTACTCTCATGGGCACCACCTCAGCGTCCGATCGGCGTTCCATCGCGTCTGCTCTCACGGTCAACCATTTCGTGAGCAAAGAGTATCCGATCGGCGTTCCGTCGCGTCTACTCTTATGGCCAACGACCTCAGGGTCCGATCGGAGTTCCTTCGCGTCCCCTTTGATGAGCAACCAGCTCACGAGAGAGTGTGTCCGATCGGCGATCCGTCGCGTCCACTCTCTCCGATGGTGTCTCTTTCCCCTCGGGGAAATCCTGCCTCGCGTCTTCGATGGTAAGTATCCCTTCACTCTTCACCCTTCCCCACAACACACACTGACCTCTTCTAGTTCACATCACAGGTTCTGCTTGGCATCATGGTTGGCTATGTTTGGAATGGATCGGGGAATTGGATCAGGGTTGAAGGTGCTCATGGTACATTGGAATCATTGGTGGATCATTGGTGGAACATGGAAACATTGGTGAAGGGTATCATTCTGGGGTTGTACTTGAACAAACACTTGGGCATTCATTGTTAGGAAATTGATCCATTCCATTCCAACATTCATTTATCTTTGATTTGTGCTTGAATCTGCCCTTGTAATAACCTGCTCTGATATTTCATCAATGACATGTACTGTAACATGATGAACTTGACCTTGCATGTACCTCTGTGACAAGCTGCTCTGATGTTTCATCCATGACATGTATTGTAAATCAGAATGATGAACTCGAATACTTTAATCAAATGTCATACAGTAGAAGCTCAAATTTTTATCATCAAAACTTTATTTCTTTCATGTAGCTAATGTTGCAGGTTCAGGCTGCCGTCAAATGAGTGTGTGATGATAATTTCGCAAGATTCCGTTTCCGATTCCACTAATGTATTCATATCAAACCATTGATTTTTTTCTCCCCCTTTTCTGATGTTTATTCTATACCTGTTCTAAGTTCTGCGCATGTTTCTTATTGCGACTGTTAAATGAGTATGTAAAAACAATTTCGAAAAAACTAATTCAATGCCATCGATTTGTGTATATCTGGCCAATGTGTTTTCGTTCTCGTTTTCAAGCTCCGAATTCTTGCTTGGCGCCCTACTAACTCTGCTAAGTTTTCCTGATAATATTCATCTTACATGAATTGTGCAGCACTAGGAGTAATTTCTTGAACCCAGAATCCCTCGGAGGGAAGGGTAACCTGTAACGGTATTCGAAGTTTTTTCTTCATGCTGTAAACCCCTGGATCTGGGGTTCTATCTTCGAAACAAAGAAGAGCGACTCTGATTAATCTAGCCATGTCAGGATATGGTATAACAAAGGTCAATGGTCGTCCTCTGTATGTCTTTCTCGCATAAGCTGTTAGATTGGTGATGTCTAAGCCCCGTCTAAGTCTCTCCTTGAATGTTTCATGTCGATATCTTTATCTTCTCCATTGAATCCTTCGTTGAAATGAACATAGATTCCCTGATTCCAACCAAAGTTTTCAAGATGGGGACAGGGAATAAAGCCTTCGCTTACCACAAAGCCATACTTCTTATTGCCCTCATGATATTCCGGAATGTCGGAAAACTTGATGGTTTCTTCATGTACACAAGCGTGTTCCTTCCAAGCCATACTCAACCTACCATCCATCTTCACAAGGTTTTCCGCGACCACTCTCTATCGCACATAGAGAGTAGAGATATCATAGTCTTCCTGATTCTTGGATGTAAGGCCCCGATTCTCCTCAAAATCCCCAAGGTAATCGCCTGATTGCTTTGTGTCCCATTGAGGAAGACCGAAGAAGAGGTTGTCATTTTTGGTTGTCAAGGTTCTATTTCTGTGATACGATCACCGCTCGGATACTCTTTGATTCGTTCCGAATGGTTCTTCCAGTCTTTGTCCATAGTGATTGTTTCTTGAATTTATTGGCAATTGATTGTTGAAAACTCTAGTAATATCGGAAGAATGATTTGGAGAAGGTTATTAAGGAAGAATTACTCTCTTGTTGTATAGATTTTCTCTCTCCCCCCTCTAGGTTACTTGCTTTAAGTCGCTGCCCTCTTTGTGCATTACCAACTACCAATTCCAAGGCGACACCCAAACGCTTTATCATAACCAATACTATGGTCTCATAAGATCTCGCATAACTCAAAGAAAAAGTAAAATCAAGACTGGTCTATCCTGATGCCTTTGTTCTATAGTATAGAGCATGACCAGGGATAGCGGAGAAGAAGCAATTTTGACTTGCAAATCGAAACGGACTTGCCTCCTGTGCCAGCGGAGGAACTCATCGACCACCGAAATTCTTACAGTACCAAAGAAAATACCATGATGTTGGATACAACCTTGCTTCATTCCTGGGTAAAATACCCCCACAATCTTTGGATGTAACTCTGGTAGGCGGCGTGGAGGTACAGGGGTACAGTTGGATACCAACATCCACCGAGTTTCTTTCACGAGGAAGATACGACACCACTGATCTCTTCGAAACTCTGAGTACCAACTTTTCAAAACTCAAACCACTCGTTTTTCACACGAGACCTCGGTTTCTCTTTGTTTCTTCAAGCATCGCTCGAAAGATGTAAGGGTCTGGTCTCCTTCTGCTTCGCCGACTTACGGCGGCGAAGCTCCCTGTGATCATTCATCCATACCTTTCTTTCATGCTTGAATGGTTTACCAAGTGAATCTTCCACTTTACTTGCTACTTTGAATTTCTCAAAGACTGGCTTATTGGTTGCCAATATCGCAGGTGTTGTCATGGAGTTGGATCCTACGTGGGATCCAACTCTATGACATTCTCGCCGTGGTTCTCGAATATTTGACGTGGAAATCAAAAGCACGTCATCCGCCACTGGGTTTAGCAGGATGTACTTCTCGAGGAGAATATCAACAGCAAATTTGCTTGCTTCTCGTCCTTTCCTCCTTCACGCGTGGGATTGTAGTGCCTACACAGGAACCCATCCTCGCCAACGTTCGGCCTTCTGCAACTCGATTCCAGAGGTTCTACTGAATATTCCAAAGGGGAATATCCCAGACCTCCTTTGAACTGCGATATTTCATGAGGGGAGTGTGACATGGAACGGAATCCGAGTTGCCGAACGTTGAATCGTTGACCTCAATAAGGAACAATCATCTGTCTAGGCTGTAAAACAACGTTGGATGCAGGAAAATTCGGGAACTGGAATGGACCAGTGGATGTTGGCATTCGTCACTATAGTCACGGACGACTTCGTCTGCAAAAATGGTCGATGTAATGCTCTTGATACGACAAATGTACATTGAATCATTTATTTAACGCTCTAATACTGTAAGCTGGCTGGCCTTTTGAACTTACTGGTAAATAACGTTCGCCTCTCTTTTCCAGTTACAAATTCTCACACCCCTAAGAAGCGGATATTGAGGCCGTTGTCTGTTTATCTTACAAGAATTCAAGATAATTAAAGGGGTACCTTGAGGAAGATAGAGTGAGTAGGGGATAAGGATGAAAACATCAATTAAAACTAGCGTCTTCCTAGTAGAACTTTGCTTTCAAAGGCTCTTGCTCTAGCTACCTGTGTTCATAGACCTCTTTCTCGCTATATATTGAAGGAAAGGAAGAGTACGCAATGTAAAGGAAGTAAGCTCAATGCTTTTGTCAGTGCTTTCCTATCTCCTCATGCAGCTTGGAATGGTAGATTTCACGCTATTGTGAAGTGCTTGTGAGTCTGCCTCCCTCTTTGTACATGGATTGAAACTTTACTGTGCAATGTAGTGTCTAAGATAGTGAATTCTTCTTACCTAGCATAGTGGTTCATGCCAAGACTGTATCAGTGTAAGCTATTCTTCATATCTGCTCTTGCTGCAGCATTACCTGTTCCCCTTTACACAACCAAACCTTAACAACCATCAGAAAACTTCAAAACATTTTCAACCTCCACAATCACAGTCAGAGCGTCGCGCTCTATAAATATATGGAAATATGGGCTTTGAAAGTGTCAATCGCCGATATCTACAACTCCCATGCGATCTTCCAGATTGGAATATTCGTGATCAAAGTAAGTGATGTCCTTCACTTGAGAGTACCTAACTACTCATCTGCTGACATTATATTGTATCGCCTGAGCGTCCTTCCCACCGAGACCCTCATAATGATACTCAAAGAATGCGGTTTCTCCAACATAGACTTCATCAATAACATTGTCTTTTCCCTATCTGTCGGCTTGACTTGCAAAAGACTTTACAACCTTCACCGATCGATATTTGGCAAGTCCCACCTGAATACAGATTACGATGCCTACGTCAACTTTGAGCCAGCATGCCCCAGTTGGTGTGATTACAAGGTCTCTCATACACACTTTGGCCTCCGTAATCAACATGGGCTCTTGCCTAGATGGTATACTCTTAAGATATGAGTAGCGACAAGATTCTTGTGTTCGCTCTCAGAGACATTCGTACACGTACAGGAGCAAAACGAAATCCGCCAAGGGATTCTTGCGAAAGATGGAGGAAAAGCTAGGAAGATAAGGTGGAGCTATCTAAGAGCGATCTTGAGCTAGTAAACTCTTAATAAATGAATAAAACCTGTCAAGTAACTGCGATGTAGCACCTATGTAACATAGTGAATTCTCGTTGATTGGTGAAGGAGTTCATGCCGGAACCTTAGCCCATATTTACTGAGCTTCATTGTTTATCCCTCCAAGCTGCCCCAAACCCCGCCGATATCGCGTCACAAAACCAACTCACCGCCACGACCATCGCAAGTTCTCAACAGCAAGAACAATCATTAAGGACAGGACGCCAGACTTGGCCAGCATAAGCAACAATGGTTTCCGCCTACATTCATCGTTCATCCCTTCCATGTGCTCAACCGCAATGGTATTTGGGACCCAAGAGTAAGCAGTCCCTTATTATCTAATGATATATTACAAGACTAACAACTTCTTTCTTTTCAGTCAACTATTTGTTCACCCTTCCAGACGAGGTCCTCTTGATGATACTACAAGAATGTGGCACCACCATAGACTACGATCTCGCAAAGCAAAGAAACCCCATTAGATGTGGCAACATTATCTTCTCCCTATGTGCAGGATTGACCTGCAAGAGACTCTACAACATCCATTGGGGATTATTTGAGAAGGTCAATATCTATCCAAACTGGACCGAAAGTGGGGCTGGATACACCCTGCCTTATGTATGCCCGGAGTGGTGCAACTATGAGAAGCTGAACGGCAAGCCACATCTTTACACGCGGACATTTATTCCACAACAGCTTTTGGAGGAATGGTTCATCAGTGCAGGATATAGGAAGGTTACGCGTTCGCTCTATGTAAGTCGGTGTTCTGAGGCCAGATTTGTTAAGTGTTGAGCCACGGTGATTTTGCTAAAGGAGGGGAGGAAACTGGGTGGAAACCTCGGGACTTTAGAAAATCATGGGTGTATAATCATACAACTTTTCGCAAAGCCGTTCTAGGAGATTTCTAATTGAGTAGGCTTAGGGGAACACATGTATGTGCTACGGAATCTAGGAAATTCGGGTAGTGATCAGAACAGAGATACCCTACTTTAATAAAAACCATGAAATGCTATCTCTGAATAGTATTTGTGTAACATATCCCTTTTTTCTATCACAATTATTTATGATATTTTCAAATCAAGCCGACGTTGACAATATCACGCTGTAGTTAAAAAATCATGAGTTGATGCGTATCTTAATGGCAAAATGGAAATGCCAGTTTTTATTCATTTGCCATTCCTATTAACAACCACTAGCATCGTGTTAAATTCGAGTAGTTAAGTTGATTAGTGGCACCTAATCAACTGAACTTGAGTAGTAAAAATTACTAATCAATTTAACTCACTAAGTACTCGATGAACTTATAATTAAGTCAAGTGATATCGTCCCGATACCCCGTAGTACGCCCGGCCTCGCTAGCTGGACTCCTGGCCGTCGGTTCACGTGCGTTGACTTAGCCGAGTGCCCCTATATCAGGTATATACTATTTCCTTATATTTTAGTGACGTTTTGTATAACTACTCGAGTAGTACTTGATTAGTTAAATCTACTAATTAACTTGATTTAACGGAATCGACTAATCATACTTATCTAACTTAAGTCGAGTACTACTTGAGTAGCGTCTAGTAGTTGATTAGTTTTATTAACACGGTATCGACCAGTCTCGATAGATTTGTTAAGACGTTCTTTGACCCTAATATTGGACTTTCCAAGCTAAATGTTCTAGACAAGGAGAATGAGGGTGAGATGTGGTATGGAAAAAAGTATTGGAAGGTATATAATAATAACAAGTTCGCATTCGGTCAAGAAAAGATGCTTTGTAAGGTTGTCCATATACTAAGCTAAATTAAATTTCATAACTTTAATCAGAATAATTCTTGCCTAAACAGCCATTCCATCCACTTCCAAACAACAACTATCATCATCTTCATCACCCTCCGTATCCATTTCTCCAAATCCATTTTCCAAATGGCTTTCTACTATCACACAAAACTTATCCATATCCTCTCTCAATTCAACCCACTCCACCCTTCTTACACTATCCTCAGAAATCCTCGCAAAACAACAATCCAGACTCTCATCTTCGTAGCAACCCGTCCGAATACGGATATCATTCAGCGAGTGCATCAACCACTTCAGCTGCAACCATATCTTATTACTCCTCTTAACAACACCGACTTTCCTCCCCGGATAAACATCTCCCTTCTCAAACACCACTCTCAAACATTCCACAATCTCACAAAAGCGCGACTCAAAAGTCGTCATTTCGACCTTGAAAGCATATGCAGTCTTCGCTTGCTTCAAGTCATTTTCCCCAGATATACGCAGACCAAAGATGCAAATGTGACCCCAGCGAGCCAGCATCAAACACATTCCCATGAAGACAAACCGGTTCTCTCTTCGCATCCCAACGCGAACAAAAGTATCCTTCCGGAATCTGGTACCGTCGCAAATCATCCATTTTCGGCTGCAACCCCACTTCCGACATCGAGGTCTCACAGACCTGAGCATAGAACTCGGATTCGAAGCCGCGTCTGTACAGTAAGTTTGAGAGTCCCTCTGTGTCACATCGCTCTTCGATATCACCCCAAAATGAAGTCTCGCGCGCAAACGTCTTCTCGGATGAACTTGGTGCCTTCCGTATGATGCTTATGAGAGTATTTGATTCAATGCTTTCTCGGATACGAGTGGTGTATTCATCGTACCGGCTCTGGAACTCCTGGAGATCTTCTTGTTCCCAGAAGTTGTAGACGTGTACCCGGGCTTTGGGCTCGAAAAGGGGGGGTTGGGAGTAGAAAACCCATCGGCTTTCTGACAGTTCGGCTCTGAGACTTACGACTGGCTTAGCAGGTTCTGTGACTAGCTGGTTTTGTTCTCTGGTTGGAAGCTTCGGTGGGGGGCTTTCGCTTCGAGGACATAAGTGTGGGAAATTTTAAGGAACCACATTGGGATGTGAATCGAGCATGAATTCAAAATCCAAAACTTCTTCGCAAGAAGCTTGGAATAAGGCTCGATGGACGCGAGGACAGGGAGTATCGGCTGAATGCTGATTGAGTTTTGCTTCCGGGCTGATGGCTCTTTCCTGGCGCAAGAATTCTCGAACGACGGTTACACAGAAGGGGAAGTGTTCCGGTTCGCTTTCGGAATCGTTGCATCGTCTTCTGTGCTGGAATCATTGTCCTCTTCAGCATTATCGTCGTAGAGCTCCGTGTCATCTGTTTCCTTGCCTGTAATGCATTGTTGAATGTTGCCAGTTGTATTTGGAAATGAGGACTCTGATTCGCTGTCAGGCAGTTCTTCGTTGTCTTCCTCTCTAAATGCTCTTTGGTCTTCCTCCTGGATGTTTTCATTATCGTTGTCCCTGGAGGAAGACGAAGACTCTGAATCGCAATCACGCGATGTGTCGTCTATTTTCTCCTCTTCGGTTAATTCTTGGCCTTTCTGAAGAATGCTTTCATCATCGCTATTTCTCGTTGGAAGCGAAGAATTCGATTCGCTCTCACTCGAAGATTCATCCTTTTCTGCCGTCAGATATTCTGGGCCGCAGTTTTTCTTCTCATCAACTGCTTTTTTGCTAATATTCCCAATCGGCTTGAATCTCTTCTCTTGAACTCGCTCGTCACCAGTCTCCTCCCTTTCTGAATCTCAAGGAACCTTAAGCTCCCTAATCAGCGGGAGCGTCGTGGTCGAAGCATTCCGATCATCCAACACACCCCTCTGCCCAAGTTCCACAACATAATCCCTAATAAGCCTCTCCTTCCCTCTCAAGACCTTACTCGAAAACCCCTCCCCAATCAACTCCCGTCTCAGATCCCTCCAAAACGTCTTATCATCCCCACGATAATCCGTCATCACCGAGCCACCACCAGCCGGCAAACCAGCAGCCGTCAACTTCGCAAGCACAAGATTAACCGACTCCTGAATCCCGTCCAAGCTCCCACTCTGGCGATTCATCTGGCGCTCCACCCGACTTTGCGATCCCGAGGAGAATAATTGAAGGCTAATAGCTATAGCATCCGTATACGTGCGTACCTTCTGTCTGATATCCTTCACACTGACAATCTCACGATTCCCAAACTTCGCCTTCTGCCACAACTTCTGAACGCTCTTCTCCGATTTACTCAAAGAATTATATTTCGAGAGAAGACGATCGAGGCGCAAGAGGTGTTCATCACAGCCCTGGATATGATTGCGTAGTCCCTTGACGCGTTTATCCCTCTTATTGCCTCGCATCGAATCGGGATTCTGCATCTCGGTTTCGACATGCGAAAGGACCGTATGGAGGGTAACCATCTCTTTGGTTAGATCATCGTGTTCGCCGCATGCTGCTTTGGCGCCTTCGACGACTTGCCAGGATAATTAGACGAAGGAGGCGATATCGAAGATACTGAAACCGAAGGACATGATTCCTGTAGCATCTTGACCAGCTTTTCGCGAATGACTAGAAAGCTGTGATGTGACATGATGAGAGAGGTCGAGAGGTTGAACTAAAAGAAGTTGGTGAGGGGAAATGCATGCATGCAAATGCAAAGTAACGAATTCCCGTTTCGTTGATGTAACACTATTGCCTACATACCTAGGTACGTTAGAACACCAGCCAATTATTGACCTCGTGCATTGCTAAAACCTTGTTACGATATCAAGAAATCCATATACATTATAGAGGTAAAAGGACTTTTATTAGTAAATAACATAATATATTACTGAAGTCTATCTATATACTAATATAAAATCTATAGAAAAACTACTAATTTTTAATTTTTAATTGCTTTTCCTCTTATAATAATTCCTACTAGAAATAAATAGTAATAGTAATAGTAATTACTTAATAAATCTAATAAGTATTATATCTCTATCTAACGTACTATTTACTACGATTAAACTAGCTTTAATAAAACTCACGTTTCCCTATTTCTTATAGAGAAAATCACAACTAGAAATACTATGTTCTTAAAAGAACGATGACTATAATCTCTATCCTTAGATAAAGATAAAACAAGTTTATTATCATTCACCCCTCAAGGTACTTGTACAAAGCGGTGAGGAGGCGAGCAGCCGGGTGCACTGGCAGAACCCAGCTAGTAGCCACCTGATAACAAACCGCGCAGGGATTCACGAGATGATAAGAAGGCTCACCAGCCTACACCGTGAATAAGTGGCGGTGCAGTGTTTTGTTTGCAGTCAAACGAATGAACGAAGGTTGAGACAATTTATTACCCCACTCAACAACCCTTTCCCTTTACACTTCCACTCCTTCTTTTTGGAGCACGACAGTGTGAAGTTCAATATTGGAAACTGGAAACGAGACGAAGTCATACAAGAAAGACCCTTTTATTTACGCACCTTGCCATCTTGCGGTGTAACATACGGAGGGACGGAACGCGAAAGTTGGCCTTCCTTCAGTGTTGCAAGATGACTGCAAACGAGAGTGACGTGAAAGGTAGTGTTCCTCCCCCCTTTTCTTTTTTTCGCATGCAATCAACTCCTCAGTTGTGTTTTGATATGGAAAGAAGGTCAAAGTCACTCTAACAATTCTGTAGTCCGCGACGATCGCTCGGCAACTCCTGCAAACGGAGTCGCAGAGCCAGAATGGTCTGTTGAAGCTGTGGTCAAGACCCTCCCAGGAGGCCCTCCAGAGACAAACAGCACTTCCCCAGTACCCTTCTTCCATATGTTGGAGCGCCTCAAGACCACGAAGCGCGAGGGATGGCGAAGATTCAGTATCAACCAGTAAGTATCCCGTCCCAAGGGTGTTCTAGCATTGCTGATGAGATGCTTTCATTGCAGAGGCGAATCTATCTCAGACCACATGTACCGCATGGCCTTGATCACCATGGTTGCGCCCGCCTCCCTCTCTTCGAAGCTCAATATCCCTCATTGCACCAAGATGGCCCTCGTTCATGATATTGCGGAGGCGTTGGTTGGCGATATCACCCCGGTCGATGGCGTAGCAAAGTCGGAGAAGAACCGCAGAGAAAGCACCACCATGGACTATCTCACAGACAAATTGCTAGGTCGCGTCAATGGCGGAATGTCTGGCAAGGATATTCGAGCGGTCTGGCAGGAGTACGAGGATTCGGAGACGATGGAGAGCAAGTTCGTTCACGACGTTGACAAGATCGAGTTGGTTCTGCAGATGGTTGAGTACGAACGAGTACATGAGCGTCGACTGGACTTGGGCGAGTTCACCTGGGTTGCTTCTCGCATTGTTCTTCCCGAGGTCAAGGAGTGGGCGAATGACTTGATGAAGGAGCGAGAGGCGTTCTGGGCTGGTCATCCTCACTTGACTTACAATGCCGAGGGCAAACTTGAGCAGAAGTCTGGTAATGTCATTGAGGCCAAGGCAAATGGCTCAAAGTAGTGTGTTTTCGACATGAGCATCAATATCATGATACCCCTGAGTTAGCTGCGATCGCGGATGGTTTGGGTTTGGCTATAGAGGGATACCAGGACCGGAGTGGACTGGATTGGCGTTCGAGGATTGCTGGGTACAAGCACTTGAGTATTTGTTTACCTATACTCACCATAGATGTCGTCTAATCTGGGCAACGAACCTTATGAGAAATGGATAACATCATTCTTACGAAGTAACTCTGTCGTGCACTGAGACTGCTTGAGACATATTACCATCTGATGAACTCTGACGATGAACTCTACCCCTCCCTCATAGCGTGAAGTGATTGCCAATCATTAAGTAGGGGTAGGGATAGGTTATGGGAAGTCTGGGGTTGGGGCTCTGGAGACTGACTGGGGTGCATTTCAAGCGGGGTCTTCACTGTTTTGCAGGTGCCCGGCCAACCGGCAAAACTCTCCTGTAGCACAGGGCAGGGAAGCTCTGGAGAGGTCACTCACTCATATCTCTACAGCTCACCGCATATCTCATATCATCCCCAACCTACTCGTACTTGCAGCCGTGACCCTTCCCACCAAACCCCAGATTCAAGCGCAGCGTCTTACTCGTAACTGACAGCTCAGATGTTCATGTTCCATGCGGGGATAGCTTCACTTTCGTCATGAACTACAACAACTCGATGCCGATGCCCGGCGCATTCAACCTCTCTCAACACCGTGACCAAGGTTCTAGGCCTCGAATCTCTGGCGCACATTCTCACATCTTCAGACCACCCAAGGCACGAGCCGATTCCATTTCCTCATCAATATACTCTCGCTCTCCCTCCGCCATGTCCCTCTCCCCAGCGTTAGGCCGACCTTCCATCTCCGGAAACAGAAAACGATCTCGAACGGAAGCTGAGTTGCCCCGCGCACCAGAGGAGGATCACGGATGGGGTTCGATGATGGTGAATAGCGCGGAAGCGACCGGTGCAGAAGTATGTCCTGGATCGCCTCCTCCTCTTGCGCATACAAGATATGTCTTGGCCGGCGGAATGGATACACCTACAATGAAGGCGGCTCAGCTGGCACTACCCGGGAATGGCGATTATATGGATGCGGGATATAGAAGGTCACTCGGCAGGGAGGAAAAGCGAATGTTGGGAACTCCGCAGTATTCAGATCTGGACGATTCGACATATTTGCAAGCGGATGGTTTAGGAAGGGATGCTAATGGGAGGGGGAGAGGTTGGATCAGTCCTGGTAATGGTGGATGGGGTAGAACTGCAGCACAGGTGGTAGGAGGGGTTGTCGAAAAGGTGTGGGAATTTTGTAAATACGGTGGGGCTGCGTTTCGAGGTTTTCATGCTGGTGGTGGAAAGGGGTATACGGTTCATCAGGCAGGACCGGTCTTAACATACGAGCCTGATGAGAGCAATTTCTGGCAACAGAATGAAAAGTCAACATGGGGTCCGCCAGACTGTGGTACGCCTTTACCAGGACAGTTCCCAGACGAGAGCCCGAATTTCGGTTACTCGAGGCCCGAGAGAGACGATCCTCCAGCGAAAAGACGACAGGTTAGCAGAAGTAATACACAAGACGAGCTTGCAAAGAATTGGGTAGTAGTAGCGCCACAAATCGACAGAGCAGCACGATCCAATCCCCCACTGAGAAGTCAACCCAGTTACACCTTACCAACCGCCTCATCCACAACCAGAAGACCCCTCACATCCAGCGGTAGACCCGCATCGCGAGCCGGATTCACAGCAGCCAGACGACCATTAGTAACACGAGTATCGCACGCCGGATCGCCAGCACTGACACCCAACCGTGGAGCCAGCTTCGCGAGCCCACGTTCCAGCCCAGGTAGCAAGATTCCTCGACCAACCTCGACGTCCATGACACCATCAAAAGCACGGAAGGGATTCGATAGTCCTGCGGCGAAGGAGGCACAGCGATGGGCGGCGTTGAGGAAGAAGGAAGAGAGAGATGCGGATGAGAGTATTCGCCGTCTGGACGAGCAGTTGAAAGCTATGATTCGGGAAGGCAAGGAGGCGCTGGGGACGAAGATCGAGGTGGAAATGGAGGATGATGTTGATTTGAGTGGTTGAGGTTGGTTCTTTGCATCGAGGTGATTTCGTTTCATTTGTATTCCGGAAATTCCGTACATTTGGTATGTACGGTTCTGAAGGTGTCTCGTTGTACGTTGGTTGCATGATGAATCTCTTTTTTTTAATGAGATCTTCAGTATCTTGCATACTGATGACGCCTCCGAGGATATGCTACGGTATCCAGCAGGATGAAGCAAAGATGATACCACGCATTCACACAGTACCTTCACCGTCCTCTTTTACGAATGAGTAGAGCAGAGTGGGCCGGCGGTTTTTTGTGGATATGAATTGCAATGCTATGATATGGCTGGCGTTTGGTTTGGTTTGATTTGTGGATATGCAAATGGCGTTTGGCTACGCTACGCTACGCTACCTTCTTCTTACACTAGCTAGCTTTCTGAATTGAAATTGACATTTGGATTCGAGAATTCCGTAAGAAGATAATGATGATGTGAGGAAGTTGAATCCTTCTTTCTTTTTGCAGTACCGTAAGATCTTATCTGTTTTGAAGAAGGAAATGGAAGGCATCTCGTGTAAGATTACAGAAGCACTCGGCCGATTTCAATACCAGACACCTACTTCGACATTGGCTACAACAAATGCCAAGAAAGTTCTAAACATATAAACCAAATTCCAGCCAACTCTCGAAAAGCTGATGAACCTTCATGTTGATGCTTGTAGCTTCGCGATAGGCTGTTGTGGTTTTGTTACGAGTAAGATTACCGAGGTAGTAGTAATAGTAGCTAGTAGACTTGAATTGGCGGATGTTTTCGTATACGAGGAAGGATAGATGGATACTTAAGTAAGGGGGGTTTAGGAAGGAGTCTTTGTGATGTTTGGGGGATGGAGGATGGCGGATGTTGAATGAGGGTGGGTATAGTATAGTGGTGGTGGGTGAGGGTAGTGGTAGGGGTATTAGTAGTAGTATAGTACCTTAGTACACTTGCTATACTATGCTGAAATACTTGGGCTGTACCTAGGTAGGACTTGAAATGCCCTGATATAACCAGATTACCAGACCTAACCCAAGTGATTCGAGGTAGATACTATCTCAGTTACACCAGTATCCCCAAACCCCAAACCCCAAATCCCCAAATCTAAAATCTGAATTCTGAAATCAGAAGTCTTAATACATGGCAGTACTCGTACGTAGCCGAGGAGGTGTATTTTTCATTTCGTTCTCTCTCTCTTAAGAATACACCTTATCTAAGTATTCGTTATCTTCATCTAGGGGCTTATATGACTTGAATGCAGTTATATAGTTATATAGTTATACTCGATGAGGGTAGAGGTAGAGGGATGAGCGTGATATCACGTCTAGATATTTGAACTGTGCTGTTTGGAAGTGACCACTACCATATTTCCAAAAAGCAAACAATAAATATTAAATAGAATACATTTCCTATCAAATCACAGATCAATCTCTTCTCCATCATCAGGTCAAAGAATTAAATATTCATATTCATAGTTTTTCATGTTTTTTCATGTTTTCCCCCCAATATCATCGCCATTATCAAATCCACGACAAGATTACCTAGGTACCTAAATAACTAGCTACACACCGCAATCCACCCTCTTCCAGGGCCATTCTCCCATCATCTTATCTCAGTAACAGCGAAACCCCATCGCGTCAAAGGTATAATGCCAAACTCCAAATGTCATGATCATGAGTAACCTAACCTAACCTAACCTAACCCAGTCATCAGAAGTAAAAAGAAAAAAGGTCATAAATAACATCATTTCGAATCGCCATCCCTGATATCAGCATGGGCACCGTACCGTACCCGGGATGTTCTGTCCACGTCAACCTCTTTCAATTGAATTCGCTCTTCGCTCATCTCCAATTCTTAGGTTTCCCCGCCATGTTGACAGCCGGCGGGGGGCCATCATCCACAGGATAAGGCAACAGCACCATCGGTCTACTTCTCCCCATCATCGAGCCCGGTTCCTGAATAGGAGTCTTTGGTGGTCGCGGCGGGGGCTCAACACGATTGATATGCTGGACAACCAGTGGCAGAGGTTTCGATATCTCGTCCGCGCTCACGATGGCAATTTTGTCATTCCCGGATGCGGTGTGCCATTGCTCGGGTGTGGGTGCGTGCACTTGGAGTTTATCACCGTCGATGCTATTCATACTCTGCATTGATGATTGAGGAGAAACCGGGGTCAGATTCTGTCCCGAGCTGTAAGGACGGATCTTATGTTCCGATGAGGTTCGTGGCGAAGGGACGGCTAGATTGTCGATATGACCTGATTCGTAAGATGGTCGAGGAGGCGGGCTCATCCGCGTAATGGTGGGTGTATTTGTAGGAATGTCGGCAGGTAATTCTACTGCGTTTGGATATGCCTCTGGGACATCAGGTAGGCTCTTGTAATGATGGGAAGTAGCCCCTCCGACTCCGCTCATCTCGCCATCGCTCTCGTATCTCAACTTGGCTCTGTGAATCTTTGCCAATTTCACAGCTGACTCGGCAACCATTTGCTGTGGGTTGACTCTGCTGAGATAACGTCGGGTGTTTGTACTGATATCCGACAATCGATTCCATTCATTCATACCAAACTCACCAACTCCAATTTCAACATTGAATCGGTAGTAATTCGACACATTAACGCCTCGCTTGCTGAGACCCTCACGTACCATGTACTGGTGTGTTTCTTCACATCCTTCGATTTTGGCAATCAACTTTCGTCTGGCTTCGGCAAAATCGCCCATAAATCCTTCATACCATAAATGTGAATTCTGTTCGCTTCCTGTCGGTCGTTTACCAGTTCCAATACTGATCATAACCCCAACATCACGACCTGGCCATTCATTTACACAAGCCTCGTCCAATGCCTCGATTGATGGGTTGAAACGACCAGCTCCCTCATCGAGAAATAAAGACTGCCCAATTTGAATAGGCTTGAAAGCTAGACCTGTAGCTGAAGTTGCACGACCAGCTTCCCAAATTTTGCAATTTACTTCAGGAGCTGGCTCTTTTCGTGAATCGTAGGATCGGAGTACCACTGGGGAACCTCCCTTACCAGTACCTTTATAAACAGCGGTAACAGCACTAGAAATCGTTAGCCCCGACTTATGCATAATTTGAAGTGACATACGTTTTGGTTCGATTTTCTCTGTTGTCGTATAATAATGCATTTGGATTTCCATGTCTCCCTAAGAAGCCTCGATTTTGATAAACTCCCCCGGACTTGGCACTAAAGCTGGCGACACTGGCATTACTGGTATGCCGCTGTGGTCCCGTGTTTCTGGGGTTTAAGGGGCTAGATCTCGCTGCTTCTGTTTCCATGCCATCGTTTCCCTCCGATTGGAAAATCGTGTGCTCTCTCACACATTCTTTGATAGCCTCCTCCAGCTTCGAAGCCTTGAAAAGAGTGGATCGGTATGGAATTCCGGCGATCGTCTTGTCCGTCTCGAAAACCTTCTGGGTCATTCGCACGTAGACTTCTTTACATGTCTCTAAATCCAAGCGCAATCTTCCTAACATGAGCGCGATCAAGCCTCCTGTTCCCGTTCCTATTATCAGGTCAAAGTGATCGCATGGTTTCGGTATCTGGTCTCGCTTGGGAGCTTTGCCTTCAATCTCGACGTAGGTACGGTGCATGATGTCTTGAATGATGATAAAGAGGGAATACCCTCGAACACCGCCTCCATCTATGACCGGTTAGCTGTTGAGAATCAAACTCCAGTATTTTTCCACTTACCAAGAGACAGTATCCGAAGCGGGGGACCCTTTGTGGTGTCTTTGCGCCGGATGGTGGCCATGGTGGGAGTAGGAGTTGGACGAAAAGACTCCTGGACTGTGTTTTCCGGGAGGGAATCGAGTTGGCTGCCCCGCGATCGCGACCTCTTATGGGACGCTGAGGCAGCGAGAAACTTCAGCCGCGCCGTCGTGAAGTCCGTATGATTAAGCTCGATGACTGTATGCGCGCGCAACGGAGAGGAGGTAAATGAGGGGTGGCTTGGACGGGTTGTCGGTAGGGCCGGGGATGCAATGCGCAATGCAAAGAATCGAGGGCGATATGTGAGGCTTGGTGAAGTTGGTCGGATTGCTGGCTTTGCAATGTTTTGAGGAATGCCGTGTACAGCAAGTAGAAGTTTGTCTGGTGATGTGATGTGATCTTGGTTGGGCGCGAAGGGCACGCCAATAACCAATCTGCTATGTACGGAGTCTGCAGGTGAGTCGAAGTGACGCTAGGAAGCCCGCGCTCGCATCAACCTGGCGAGTCTGCTTCTGCACCGCCCCGCGAATAGTCAACCCTGGCCTGGCGAGAATGCAACACTGCACAAAATACACTGCGGGACTTCGGTGGTACGAGTACAGCCAGTAGTACCAGTACCCAACACAGCTGAAAAATCAAAGTTGCGGAAGAGATCTGTGTGGGTTTGGAGGAAAAGTCAAACTCAAATCTGCTTCTTCAAGCCAGATGTAGGGGTGCGGCGATTCTCATGACATCTATTTACGGGGCGCAAGCGAAGGTAGCGAATGCAGCGACGAAAGCAGGTACCAAACACGACAATACATTTATTCACTTATTCACGGGTTTTTGCTTTTCGCCTCCCTCTACACGCTGACGTGACCGTCCCAATTTTTGTCCATCGCCATCGACATCAATATCCATTTATCCGACTGGTCTTTGCAAGTGCCAAGTTCGTCTCCAAGGGAAAGAGTGGGTTTGGACTTGACCCCGAAGCTTCCCCTGTAGCCATGACGTTGACCGCCTCGCATGGGGAAAACAATAGAGGGGTCGATTCGTTTCAACCCTCGAGGCGGTGCTCGAGAGTGGAACCAACAAATCACGAAATCGGATGAAAGCGTTGAACACTCCCATACAAGTTTGAATCTTTGATTCCTCTTCTATTTGCATCAGGATGATTGACTTTTTACCAGATCCACTTCATATTTGCCAGTACGGCAACGCTCCCGAGGCGTGGCAAGAAAAGTCAAAGAGAGGACCTTATTGTGCTCATGAAGCTACTCCCTACCTCGTACCCTCCGCAGAATACCAATTGTTGTACATTATTGGTCGATTTCTATACTTTCCAGAACTCTTTCAAAGTTCCATCTCGAACCAAAGGCTTAGCGGGTTCTAGACTCCCTGACTCCTGAGCCCTTCGACTCGTGGCATGATCCGGGGAAGTTCTTAACTTTAGGCAGACTTCGTTATTCACGAAACTGATGGACACGCAATCAGAACCTCATGTGAGGGGAAATGTACGACCTCAATGCCTTGAATTCTGGTCTTGGTAATTCATCGTGGACCTCCCATCGAGTTCTTGTTTCTCATCAATTGAACTCGTAATAAATCCTCAAATATCTCAACCAGCACTAGGTTCTCGGAACCGCGGATCTGACGGTGCTCATCAAGCAAGCAAGACCTTTCGCTGGCTAGCTTCCAGATATCGGAGTTTTTCCTCGCTTACTACAAGTAGTTCGCGTTAGTGTTTGGTTATTCGCGCTTGACCTCGGGTCAAGTGGCTCTAGTCTCTTAAATTGTTCCCTCCTTTGCTGTCTGTTATCTTCCCAGTCCTCCGTTCTACGTACCTTTCATTCCCACTCGCACCCGTCACCTAATCCAAATCACGCCTGTTACTCCATCTCTTATACTACTGATACTTTGATAGCTGGTTCGAGTAGTAATGGAAATCGACACTCCAGCGAATCAACATGGAATCATATCATTTCCCGACTCATTCGTATTACACGTGACCTAGAGGCACGAAATAAGCGAAGCGAAAATGTAAACATGGAGAAATCGGAATTATTCTACTACCCTACCACCTCATTAATCGACAGCGACAAATCACATAGATACACCATTTACTTACTAATTTATCACGGGGTTACTTATAGAATTATAAGTAACTTACTATTCGTTTTATAAATAGATAGATTATCTAAAAAAAGGTAGTATTAGTTAGGGTAGTAAACTTTCATTCTTTTATAGAAATGAATAATCGACTGATATAAATTTAAACCTATTAAAACTCGCTATTCTTAGGATGAGGTCTTGTTAGTTAAACAAATTACGTTTCCTAAGAGCGAACAGGAAGAAAAGTAGGAGAAGCATAATCATGTTATTTTGGATCTGCGCCTTTAAGTATAACAGGTACCGTAAAAACTCAGTAGTAAGATCCAAGGCAGCGTTCGGCAAATGGTACTCGATTCCATAGATTCCATAATTCTATTCCATATGGAATATTGTTAGAGGCCCTTATAAATGGCACACTTATTTCCATTGAATAGGCTCTGGAATTCCATGGAACTATGGAATTCCAAAGCACGTGATAAGCTAATAGCTTATTCGCAATACTATTATTCACTGACTCTTAGCGCTAAGTAAACTAGAGGATTTGTTGAGAAGTGAGCTCACATAGTGAATGCGCTAGCAGGCGCTGGTGGCCTAAGCGCTTGGAACCGTATTTAATACTTCGAGTCTCTAGTTCGACTGAATGCTACACTTCTATGACTACAACTTTAATAGGATTTCTATTAGTCTTCGGGCGGAGACTTTACTCCGGATCATGTGATTTTGTTCCATGGAATGCCATGGAACCACCCCATATGGAATGGTATATTCCAGAGATTAGTACAAATGGCATGGTATATTCCATAGGAGGGGGTCTGGTATGGAATGGAATTCCAGTTGCCGAACGCTGATCCAAAGTGGTCGGGGAGTACGAGGTGTATGCGGGCTATCACGTACCTAAACAAAAGGCTCGTACTTAATAATTGAAGCTATTTCGAGGTATCGTATTATTGCCGTCATTTTAAAAATAGTGAAATCAGAGCATTTCGATTGGCTCGATTATACAAAAGTATAGAGACCAACTATAATACATTAAATTAGGTGGTAGATCCCACCAACTCTAGTATACAGCATAGTACACTTGGGCTCAGCGCTGCCACCTACAGGATTGAAACAGCCTGCACTCCCCGGACCCCAACCACTTTGGATCTTACTGATGAGTTTGTACAGGTAATATATTTTATATATCATCTCAAGTTTTTAACCTAACGTACTTCATAAGGAGTCCGGATTTATAAGGAGTCCGGATTTTTTACCCCACCATTGACCACCCTACACACTTTCAATCTACATAACTTACCCAATTATTGTTCAAATGTCTCGAAAAGAAGGTCAAATTGCTCTTGCAATCAGTGCATACAATAAGGGTCAATTTACAAGCTTAAAAGCAGCTTGTACAAGGTACGATGCGCCATATTCTACTACTTACGACCGCGTCAAGGGAGCTATTCCACAACGCGATTTCCGACCCCGAAACCAGAAACTCACCGACCTCGAGGAATCAGCACTTATACAATGGATGTTATCAATGGAAGCTAGAGGTCTGCCAGTACGGAAAGATTCGATACGCCAAATGGCCGATTTACTACTGGAAAAGCGAACTGAAGTAGGTCGAATTATTGTCGGAAAATGCTGGGTTGACAACTTTATAAAGCGCCACGACTCTTTACGGACGAAATACACTCGTAAATACGACTATAAGCGCGCAAAATGCGAGGATCCTACGATTATCCGAGATTGGTTTCGATTAGTACATAATATTGTTGCGAAATATGGTATACTAGCGGAGGATATATACAATTTCGACGAGACTGGCTTTCAGATGGGAGTAATTGCGACCGCAAAAGTTGTTACAGGGTCAGAATATACAGGACGGGCTATTCATATACAACCAGGGAATCGCGAATGGGTTACAGTTGTCGAATCAATTTGTGCAGATGGATGGGTGTTGCCTCCAATGGTTATATTTGAGGGCAAGGTGCATATATCGACTTGGTATACAGATCAATTACCAGCAGATTGGACAATTGCACTTAGTGATAAAGGGTGGACCAATGATTCCTTAGGTCTTAAGTGGCTTTCAGACGTATTTGAGAAATATACCAAGGACCGTGTAAAAGGAGTATATCGACTTTTAATCCTCGATGGCCATGGTAGTCATTCTACTCCCGAATTCGATCTTTTCTGTTCAGAACATAACATCATAACGCTTTGTATGCCACCGCACTCATCTCATCTTTTACAGCCATTAGATGTTAGTTGCTTTGCAGTTTTAAAGCGACTTTATGGACGAGGAGTCGAGGAGCTAGTACGAGCCGGCACATATCATATCGATAAACCAGACTTCCTTTCAATATATCGTGTAGCCCGTACAAGCACTATGGTCAAAAACACAATCTGTAATGGATTCGCAACTACTGGCCTTGTCCCGTACAACCCAGATCAAGTATTGAGTAAATTACATACTCAATTACATACGCCTACTCCTCCTTTACTTTCTCCAAACCTACTACCTTGGGTCCCTGAGACACCCCATAATACATATGAGGCAGATCAGCAAACCCAGACAATTAAAGCATCTATTAAACGACGTACAAACGTTCTCTCAAGCCCTACTGCTATTGCATTAGATCAATTGGTTAAAGGGTGTAAGATGGCTATGCAATCAGCTACGGTTTTGGCAGAGGAAAATCGACGTTTACGAGCTGAATCTGAACGTCAAAAGAAGAAGAAGACTGTGCGACGTCAATATATTGCTACTGGGGGTGTTCTTACAGGTCAGGAAGGGAGGGAACTTATTCAAAATAGTGATAATATGGTTTTGGATGAAGCTGTGGCCCCGCTAATTGAACCACGAATTCGTGCACCACGAACCTGTAGTACATGTAGATCACTAGCGCATACTGCTCCTAGGTGCCCAGATCGAGAATAAGAAAGATATTATAGTTTATATAAATAAATATTAAGTGGTTAAAGTTCTATGGTTTTTCAAAGTTGGATGGTGGGGTAAAAAATCCGGACTGCTTATAAATCCGGACTCCTTATGAAGTACGTTAGTAACCGCGACTTCTACATAAGCTTTCCCCTTGTTCGAGTGTTAAACTTTCTTGTATACCAATTTATCCTATAGTTATTCTTAAGCCTGTCAAAAGGATCTAGCATGGCGTTCCGCGAAGCTGCCCAAAGTGCGGCTCTATCCTGGAGATTATAACTTGGATGTAGTGATGAATGAGCAGTCAGGGTGTGTGCATGGCGCATAAGATTTCGTTCTATACGAGTCAAGTTGTCGGGAGGAGGTGCATTATTAACAACATATCGACTTAATTCGGTAAAAGCCTTCAGGTTAGCATCTGCTCTGAATCTTCGTATGAGGATAGAGATAGTTGGACCTACTCCCAAGCTTTCTTCCAAGCGCCTATTGCGCTCTTGCGAAGCGGATATTTGCCGCGTTGCAAGGGCGGGACCAGGAAGTATATATTTCCAAATCGTCGCCGTCTTTGCCTTTGGAAGGGCACGCCATTTACACGACCTATCCATGCCACGACCGTACCCATTATTTGCTCCGCAGCGTTATCAAAGCCGAATCCAAGTTCAGCACTGGATCCCATTAAGTTGAATGCGACGTCTAATCGTGGAATCGTAGCAACCTGTGCCTGTGTAGCAGTCGCCGCAAGGGCTGCTGCTGATGGTGCACGTGGAAACCATGGGAAGTTGATCACTGCCATATTAGCAGCCCTTGGGGGCAAGACACTAGGATTGAAAAGCGCTTCCATCACAGCCTCTACACGGATCCTCAATTGTCTATTACTCATGGCACTCGAGTCCGGTCCTTCTGGACGGTTGGCATTTTGTCTGTCTCGCTGCTCGCTATAATCGTCGAAATTGACTACTATTACACCTCGGTGATTACCATTACCACCTCCTGTCCTTTCATCAGCGCAGCCAGTATATTCGCCAAAGCAGATAGGTTTACCTGGAATAATATTTATACTATAATCTCGTGATCCTGGTGGATTTTGAAGTATGGCTGGTGCGGGCGGCGGTGCACTCCCTGGGTCATAAATTGAGTACAACCCATTCGGGTGATTTGGGAGTTGCAGAGGCTGATCGAGGACTGCGTTCCAAATCTTTCTGTTTATTTCTGTGTCTGCTGCAAGATTTCCTGCTGTTCTCCTTAGATTATACCAGTCATTTTGAACCTTTTTAGGTGCTTGCCGATCTATCCTGCATTTCTGGTCGGTGACCATGACTATAGCGGTACATGGGAAACTGAGAAGTTCACCATCACAAACATGGAGAACGGTGCCAGTGCCACCAGCCCCCCAAGATTGCCAGCCAGGAGCGATGTTGTTGGGTAAGTTTGGCCTACCCTGGATTGTTCCTGGGGGGAGGAGATCCCGATAGTCTGCTGGGAAGGTCATTTGAATGATTGAGCCGGAAGAAAAAGAAAGAAGGAAAGAAAAGAAAAGAGAATATTGAAGATCGGCTTTTAGAGAACGTACTTGAGGATGAGAGGTACAAGTCTACTATAGCGGGTCGAAATCAAGTAGACTAGTGGAGAACAAAGAGTTTTGTCCTGTATTCTAGTTGCTCTTATACAAACACCAAAGAAAATCTCAAGTAGTACGGAACGGACTTGGGGGAACAAAGCCACCACTTCTTGAGAGTTGATAATTATCCTCATGGGACACTTACCAAGTAGCTAAATTTCATTTAGAGGCATTATTTGCTATAAAGCACCTACTAGCCACTGCAAGCCTCAAAGAAAGCACTGTCCTAGTCACCACTCTCTGTCGCCATCTTCCTATATATGTTGCCGCTCCGACTGTTGTACACAGCCCCCAGGAGCTACCATATACTTCGTTGTAGTATCATTGAAACAATAAGTCATTGAAACTAATTGTACGCCAAATCCCGTCTAACAGATACATGGGCATTGGCTTCTAATCCTCTCCTATCAACTCCTCCTAATTTATTTGCATGTACAAGACAATCTAAGCCCCGGAAGACATTTAAAATCGGTATGACCCTATAATGTAGATCGTAAGTCCCTGAGCTAGAAAGAGAAAAAGGAGCAAGGGCAGGAATACTAACGTTCGGGCACTGTTTAATACAATCTGACTCTTTACAAAAGTCTGTAAGTAGGCCTCCGCCTTGCGGCGCTGCTAGAGTAAAGGTGGCGAGGGATAAAGGATGAATGTAACATACTTCATTTTTGGAAAGGTTTTTGTATTGGTAAGGTTGTTGAATCGAAAGGTTGTTGTATTGGAAAGGTTGTTGTATTGGAAAGGTTATTGTATTGGAAAGGTTGTTGTATTGGTAAGGGTATTGTAGTAAGTTGATTTGAGTCTGTTGTTTTGCTTACAAAGTGAAAAAGGAAAGCGAGGCTAAGAAGGAATTATATACCGAGGTGTAATGAACTCCATCTGTTTGGGTTTTATATTTGGCCAGTGGGTAAAGGTGTGTCAGGATATGCCAAGCAACGTTCGGCAAATGGAACCATATTCCATAGGATTCCAGGTGGAATATTCCATATGGAATTCTTCTAGAGCACCTACAAAATAGAATAGATTCCTTCTATTAACTAGGCTCTGGAATTCCACGAGTTCCATAGAATTCCAGAGGCTTTTTCTGACTAATCAAAACTCAAGATTCAGGGTAGGTCATAGAGTAAATATATTATTATATACGGAAGATATCTAAGTAAATAGGAATACTAGTAATATGCCTAAATAGTTACGTTTACTTCGTAATTGAATATAGGATTAGAGACTCTCTGTATTACGCCTTATAATTTAGAGTACTTTGTAGTTAGAGGGGAAGGGGGGCTTCATATAATATGTCCGCTAGTCTAAGGCAAGGTGCGAGCTTTCTATTAGCCCACCAGAGCGGAGGGACTTTTTACCGGGTTATATGACAAATTCCAGCTGGAATGGCATGGAATACTTCCAGTCAAATCCTAAAAGGAATGGAATTATTCCAGAGGGGGGGTCTGGAATGGAAAGGAATTCCAGATGCCGTACGTTGATGCCAAGTCGTCTGATCTTGGGAAGTTATCTTAACTTGGCTTCGTTTCGCATTTGACACATACGGTAACTTGTGATTAATGCACATTGATTGCAAAGCTATTGTTGACTGCGGTTTGTTGTTCTGTAGCCGTAAATAAGAGCTATAGGGTTTATATTGCTGTAGCGCTGAATATACGGGGGATAGAGGAGGGGCTCTGGGAACAGAGGGGCCGAAAATATCGGGAAGGGCATGAGAACACCGGATATTCAATCAAACTTCACGCTCTAGGCAAACGGTAAATTACTTTATTGATCAGGTAATTTACCTAGGACTAACCTCATCCCTTACTCTGTAGATTAACGAAACCTGTAGGCAGTCTAGGGCAGATGGTCCTAATTAGGCTTGGCATAAGTACTCTCGCTAATCAAACCCGTATGATACTACTAGCCATGCCTAATTAGGACATTCTGTCTACCCTTCGTACTTGTTACGTTAATTTAAGGAGTAGGGGAAAGATATTTTAGCTACCCAAGTCTATACACAGAGAACAGTCGATACAAAAACGTGGTCAGGGACCGATATACTAAGAATATAAACGAGGATATCCTTATTTTCATTCAATGGGAGCAGGTAAAGTCGGCCTCATATTTTGTAGGGACAAATCTTTTCGTGCCTTGCTCCTAGAGGGCCGTTGTACAAAGGTCTTTTCAAGGCAGCTAACGCTATATGCATGGAAACATTCCTATCTTCCTTTTCTTTCTTGACTCATTTCACCAACAACAACAACAATAACGAGCTGAGAAAGCGTATACCTACTTTATATACAGTAGTGGGAGGCACCAGGAGCTGCGTTGTGAGGTTCATTGGGAATAAGCGACAGAAGGCGAATGGGATCGATGAAGCGAACGTGAGGTGGGCTAGGGCGAAAGCCATTATATGGTAGCGAATATGCCTAGATACCTTCTTTTGGTATGTCTTATATTGATTGAGTATTACTTCATGAAGATTAATTGTTGCGAATCGTTGTCACCCAAGTCCGTTCTATAAAGCACGGGGTGTTCAATCCGGCCTCACGAGCTCGGGCTTTTGCTTGATGCTTTTCGAGAAACCAATATTCAATACTACGAACACAAATCCTTCTCTCCTCCAAATAGAAGCTTGGGCATAGAATGAGTCACAAATACAGGGGCTGGCGTGTCGAATGAATGAAGATACGTCATGGGAAGAAAGACAGCATTCCATTGACTACCAATTGAGGGACCCCCAGCTGACCCGTTCACTAACCATGAATGCGCTATACACCCGTAAATCAGTATCCCTGGCGAAACTCTTGCATTCTGCCAGCAAAATAAGCGACGAGCAAGCAGTACCACAAATAGCTTAAGATGATTGGATACTGATGTTTCAGATGTAGAGAAGACCATGAAATTGATTCCTTTCCAGTGATTTTACTCCTCTGAGTCGGAAGTGTCCTATTACAAATTAGCTTGTGCCCTTTCTGTTTCTGAAAAGATATCGAATAGGATGAGGTGTTGTGAAATCGTCCTTCAGCTCAACATGGTCCAAGCTTAAAAAAGGGAATAGATAGAAGGAAGTGACTTGCCCTTTCCTCTGGCAGATTCGCTTTCAAGTAAGCCGCCATGTCAAGAATCTCCTAAAATGAATCAGCATAAGTTTTATTCAAGAGAAAGGAGAGTGCGAGTGGAAGGAAAAGGTGATCTGTCTCTGCGCCACTAATTTTGAGACTTTGAGACGAATCGGGCAAAGAAGTGTGTATTGTTTACTTACTGCATCTGACGAGACAACTGAGATATCATCCCTATCCATTTCGTCATCCGACCCTTCCGAATTATCTGAATTATCCGAATGTCTGTTTTGCTCAAGCTGCGCAAGCTGCTCCATGGCATAAATCCTTCGTTCAGCTCTGGTTTCATTCTCTTCTCTCACGCGTTCCACCAGCTCCTCATATCTATCCACGAGATCGATCCCCCTTTCCTCGCGATCTTCCTTCCTCGCAACGCTCCTAGCCTTTGCTTCTTCTCTGCGCTTTGTCCTAATTTCTTGGACTCTATCCAAGCATTCCTGCTGCATCTCCGCAACCACTCTATCTGCATATTCTGCTCTTCGGAACACGGCTTTCAGAGGATCCCATACGTGACTTGGTATCATTATGGGTAATATGCAGAGTCTAAGCCAACTGCACCTTCCACGCGCGTCATGGTAGTCGTAGTCGAGTGGAACTGGGAATGGCTTCTCGGGGTTGTGTGTAGCTTGAGGGTCGTATAACTTTGTATGATATTCCTCGAAGAGTAATTTTCCAAATTTACATGTCCACTTGAAGACGGTTGCAGTGAAAGCGTCCAAGTTCTTGAAGATTTCTATCCACTTTTAATAGTTAGCAGATATGCGTGAATACAAGATACACTTTGAAGAACCTGGAACTGATCAGAAGAACAACAAAGTGTTGCTTACAGTCTCCATAGGGAATTTCTCCACCGCAAATGGCTCTGTTGCTATTTCTTTAACGGGAATATTTGTTCCTAGTGAAAATGGCTTTCCAGTGATTTTAGAAACTACATTTAATGGGTTTTAGATGCGATCGTTGGAGAAGCTCTTGATCATATATACTTGCCCAATAATTGCTTGTTCTCTCCTCCTTTGACCCAAATCTTCCATGGAACTACAGATGAGTCCACGTATGGCTGTGTGTATATCTTTGGTGTGGTCTTAGTACGCTTTCTGGGATTTTTGGGCGGCGGCTTCTCCTTCTTCTTCACCTTCCTTGGTTGGGGTGGTGGTGGTCGTGGTGGTGGGCTCAGTGAGGGCGAATTGGCCAGCATGCGTGCAACTCTCGAAGTACAACGCCGGGGCCCATTCTGATCTCCTCCTCGTTCAACTCGATTCCGGCGTTGCGGCATTTTGGGTGGTGTTGCGAAAAGGTTACGTAGAACCAAGAGACAATCTCTTAGGTGACTTGTTGTGGCAAAGTAGCGTGTCCTCTGGTGATACGGATACCTAAGATTCACTTGTTTCTGATCGAGACGGTATGCGAGTGGCGGCTCCAGTTGCTTCTCGCGAGCTTTTTTCCCACACATACAGAGCACATACACGCCTTGAAAATTGCTAGAACTATTCAAAGGAAAGTTGATTTCACTAGAGCCATCTAGAGCCATCTAGAGCCCTCTTGTGACTTACATAAGACATTATCATATGCTTGACCGTAAATAAGCGAGCCTGGAAATAAGATCTGCAACAGTTCTTGCCCCTCATACTCTGCCTTGTATCATTTCTGTTGGCTGCTTATTGGAAAGGATTGGGTAATTTGACTTTTGCATAATACAACTGTGGGACTCCGGTGGAAACTACAGTTGGCATGTTCATTCTGTCATGGTGAATAATGAAATCGAGAATTGCGAATCATTAATTGTCATCAAGTCTCGCTCCATCAAGGCTTCAGGCGAAGACAGGTTTCAGAGTTTCTCGGTGTACCCAGACTGGCTGAACCACCACAGAACCATTATCTGGGTCAAACTTATGATGTAAGAGAGGTAATAGTTACCATGTACACGTCTAGGTTATAATAATATCCTTCTAAAAGTCTCGTACAACAAATTTACTTATACAAATGGCTTAGAGTTATTGTTTGTTTTTAATTCTTATTAAATAAAGTTTACTATAATAATTAACTTACTTATACTAAGCGTCTCGTATAATACTTTCTAGAGTATATATGAAGTAAAAACTAGGTCTATTCTAGATAATAGAATGTTAAAAAGTAGTATCTAGGTAGTATTTTAAATCATAGACTATTAATAGGCACCTTTATATTAGGCTAATTAGTACTATAAAAGAGTGTAGATCTCTTTTCAAAAATAAATAAAATATATAATAGGTACCCATAAACTAGTAATCGATTTCTGGGATATAACCAGGACCCGAGCCCACTACCCTAAGTTATATTTTAAGGAGAGCTCTTGGCTCTCCTGGCCACCGTTGGCTGGCGCTAGCATATTCGAACGTCATGACAGAGCCTCTTAGTCGACTAGGGACCCTCTTGCGAGAAAGGACATTATTACTATTCAAGCTTCCAGGTAGATATCAAAAATGCAGCTCATGTCCCCATTATTCTACCAGTTCATGAAAATTCAGCGCTTTAATAGAATTTATATAGCTCTCTAAACATTCTAGAACCTCTGGAAAGAATACTTTATTAGATCCGACCTAAAAAGGTAAAACAAGTGGCAGAGGATACCGCCACTCTTAATACCAAAAAGCAAACACCCTCAAATTCCTCCATATCCCTATCACCTCAATGACACAAGACCTCAACACATCAGAACCCTAAATGCCAGGTGCCATGTACTTTACTACTGTAGCCCGAACTCTCCTACTAGTAAGGGACTAATGCAGCCGACAGCACCCTAATTCTAGAACTTCTACTAACGGAAGGGGCTTTGGCTGTCTGTGAGTACGACTACTTGCACAAGTGCAACAAACGGCTCGATGGCTACCCTTTTGGATATTCCAATCATATCGGGAATGATGTGTCCAAGAGCGAGCTGGTGCGAGTACTCGGTCGATGTGAACGGACAGGAGGAAATGATAAGGCGGATCTCAGTGGAACTGCAAAGGGCCTTTTATTTCCCGTCTATATTGCGTAGCATCTATATCTCGTGTAAATTGAAGCTACTGCCGTGTTGTTCGGTACTATTACGCACGTCCTGGGCTTTAATCGGGGGTGCTCGCCAGCTTGTACCTATTCTCGGCATGTGTAGGAGATTCTAGGATCTAGTTGAGCGCCATTAAAGGAAAGGGGAGAGCTAGATGTCTTTTGGAAGAACCATTTACTAGATTTGCTTCTTTAAAGGCAGAGTTGATAGAAACGAAAAGGGTGCTATTAACGACTAACTTTCTCAAAAATAGTACAGGATCCTAGGAAAATATATATTGTGCACTGGCTGAAACCATAGGAATTGAAATTCGTAAGCATTGAATCAACAGAAAGAATGAAGAGATTTAGAATGAAAAGGTAAAATACCTGAATCGCGGGTTCATCGCCAGCTGATTGTCTGCTGGATGTTTCATGACCTTATTTACTTCGGGGCCTCGCTTCCCATCTCATGCCAATTGCAGTCTTCCATTCACGAGAGAACCCTGTTGTACTGCAAGAACCACGGATAATCAGTTAAGTCCGTCGCTCACCGGAGATAAAGATGGTGGAGTTGAGCTCCCGAAGGCTGCACCGTCATCGTCACTTCAGCGAAACAATCAGTAAACTGCATAATGGGGTAAATCGGCAAAGAAGATAGGCCAGGGTGAAAATTGTATGCAATCGAGTGACAAAAAACACTAAGAGGATGACCCATTCGTTCTAGGAAGTACTTCGCCCGCGCCGAAGCTGTGGTGAGGGCGGGTCCTCCTTAGCTCCGCTACATTTCCGACTCTCCATTTCTCACCAACACCAACAACAACATCCCCAATGTTGGTTATAACAAAAGGTATAAGACACTATCTGGCTCTCTGTCCCCTCCCAATTGCTATACTCATTTCCTATCCCACTTACAAAACAGCTCCAACCACATCCCAAGTCCAAAAATGCATCTCGTCCTCACCGGCGCAACGGGCCTCGTAGGTTCTGGCGTACTCGCCCATATGATTTCCGCACCTTCAGTCCACAAAGTATCAGTTCTCTCTCGCAGACCGGTTCCCATGGCTGATGGGCACGAAAAAGTGAAAGTCATCATACATAAGGACTTTTCGAATTATTCGAGCGACCTTATGAGCCAGTTGAAGGATGTAGATGGTGTAGTTTGGGCTCAGGGAATAAGTCAGACGAAAGTAGGGAAAGAGTAAGTCCCTCTCCTCAAACCCTCCACTCGAATCTCCATATGCCAAATATTGCAACCAGAATGTCGCTTAACAAGTCTTCATAATACAGAGAATACTTTAAGATAACACACACCTACCCCCTCTCCTTCGCCCGCGCCCTCACCAAAACCACCTCCCCAAAACCCCTAAACTTCGTCTACATCTCAGGTGAAGGGGCCACTACCACTCCCAGCATCCTAACTTCCCGCTTCGGTGTCGTTAAAGGCAAAGCCGAAGCAGACCTTTTATCCCTCTCCAAAGACCCCGCCTTTTCAAACCTACGTCCGTACTCGATGCGCCCCGCGTTCGTCGACAACACCGCGCATACAGAAGCCAAGGAGTTCGGCCCCAAAAGGACGGGCTTCGAAGGCCTGGCTGTTGCGACGATACTGCCAGTGTTTAGACTGATTCCCAGTTTTATGAGTCCGACGAAGGATCTCGGGAGGTATGTTACGGAGCTGGCGTGTGGGGATGGGGGTCCGAAGGAGGGGGGTGGTGTTGATGGGGAGGGGAGAACTATCAACAATACTGCTTTTCGGAGGTTTGCTGGGCTTTGAACAATGACTGGGTTGGGCGTACTTGTTGTGTTTTTGGGAGATACCAATTTGTTGTAGGGATAATGAAAGGGTTCAACGAGATGCATTGAATTCATGTGCCTGCTCAATGCTCCCAGGATGTATTCGTGGCTCCGCCCCCCCACATTTGAGGATTCCCGGAATGATACTCTCAATAAATCTGAAAGTTAGGTATAATTACTGTGAACCAGTTGACTGGAAGACTCGTGCTGACAAAATCCAGTTGTAAATATGCTTCTATGCTTTCCATTATGGTTCATTCAAGCCTATCTGGGCCGTCACCAGTCCCTACCAAGCATTACAATTTAGATATACAGGATTTGGGATAAAATCCACGCTATTGGTATCAAACTGGGATTGGTGCCATTAAATTATATCCATGTCTCCACGGGTATTCTGACTAAAGCTGCTAAGAGAGCTTCCATAGACATATACTCCAAACTAAACCCACAACTACCCAACCGCAACGAAAACCCAAAAGAATCATCGAAAATAACCAACGTCAAGGCATGTATGCAAAATTAAGGAGCAGCTCTCCGCTCCCTTCCACTAATTAAATAAACCGCTGCTCTCATCTCCAAAATCGGATCAGCAGACGCTTCAATCCCCTCAATCCTCGGAATAGGATCGAGAATCATGTATTTCACCTCCTTCTCATAATCCTTCACAAGAGCATCCAAAATGAAAGACCCAAGCTCAACAACTGGTCTGTCCTCCCTCCAATGAACCGTACAATCATCCGTCACATCCCCATCACCCGCAACCTGCGCCAGAATCTTGAATCCAATCGGGCCCTCGGCTACCCTCTTACTAAGCTCCTTCTGCAAGTAATCCGGGTCCTGGTCTTTCAGAAGGTCGTTGTCGAGGGCTTCGACCCCAGCATCGGGGACGATCCGGTACCTGATGTAAGTCTCCTTTCCATCAGCAGCGACGAGTTTGAAGGCGTTAACACCGAAGTACTGTTCCCTCCCGTAGCTTACGGGGGCTGGCTTGGGGGCTTGCACGAAAGCGAGAGCTTTGGGGTGCGAGCTGAGGAAGTGCTCCACGGGTGAGGGACTGGGTCCCCCGGGTGAGGGACTGGGTCCACCGGGTGGGGAGGCGGCAATTGCTTGGAAGAAGGCGAGGAAGTCTTCGCCGGTGCGAGTCGGGAAGAAGGGTGTGGAGTGGGCGATTATATCGGTGTGTTTGTGGGCTCCTAGGTGAAAGCGGATTCCTATTCCTCGTGGATTGGCGTTTGGGTCCGCGTCCGGGATGTTGGGGATGCCCGTCGAGTTCTGGATTATTTAGTTCATGATATTTTGGGAAGGCTCAGAAAAGGAATTGGGGATTGGCCAAGTATAAGATGAGGAATTTCAGGTGAAGCATGTGGTAAGACTTACAGAAAACCTGGCCCAGATTGGTGTCGCTAGATTGGCGAAATGTGGTGCAGTAGAGAGTTTCTTTGCCTCTGCAGAAGGAGTGAAAGTGCCACTCAGGATCTCACCCTTCGCATGTGCTGGCAATCATCAGTCAATGAGCAAGTGGAGTGTAAATTTCGAGTTAACCTGGTCGAAATCCAGGGTGTTTTCCAAAGACAGCTTGTAGCTGAGCTACAATATCCCCAGCCGTCTTATTGACAGTCTCATCAGTTGAAAGAGGCATGATTGTATTAGAGTGAACTTAAAAATGGTGACTGTTCACTTCCCTCCTATTCCTGAGTACGGAGCAATACCATAGCTTTATAGCTTCCCGAGGTCCAACGAGCACTAAGCCACGATATTCCAAGGCTGAATCGAGTCCCTTTGTATGGATTACCAGAGAAGCTAATATTTTCAATGCATCGTGTATGAGTGGTCAGTAATCAGCGAGCGTGCGGCGTTAATAAGCTTTCATGCATATCACGAAGCAATTAGATGAATTTCTTGAAATTGAGAACTGATTACTAGTACTGCGTGAGACACTCTTTCTGTACGGTGATGAGGCTTTAATTACTCAAGGTGCATCTGATGTATAAGCTGTATCTCGTATATCAAGATTGTCAATACCCCTCTTTGACCCCACTTGTGGTGAGAGGAAGCGATATGAGAGCAATTGAGTATTACTGTACAGTACTCGCTCATGAAATAGTTTGTAACTAGAACTGCTTTTTCCCAGGAAAGCCGCACAGCCTAGGTTTCTTGAGCTGTGACTTTGCGAAACAATAATGCTGCAATGTAAAAGACGCGGTCGTTACTCCGTAACCTTACACACCTCTCTTAGAATTCAATTATTCAAAAGATATTATATAACTAAATCAATTATATAAAGAGCTTAGAGTAATTGTTGTACGTTACTTTTATTAACCTAAGTATCGTACCTTAATTGGCTTACTTATACTAGAAGTTTAGTCTAATAACATTCTATATAAGTTAGTGTGTAGAGAGTAACGCCCAGATATCTTGCGATTCTTTTAAAACAGTAAACTGCTGGTACGTGAGAGCCTGACAGTGGGGAATGAGAACATAATTGGATGTGACAACTAGGTCAAATTAAGGCTCAAATGATTAAAAACGTGACCTGTTTGGTCAAACAACTTTGCTTGGTGGAGAAGATGCTGTGAAAGCGGAGGGTCGGTCCTTCTCTTCCGTTCACGATATGAACTCATGTCTAGCGTTGACAGGAGGTCCTTAATGGAAGTTGCGACCTCGGAGTGAGTCTGCCTGCAGTCTGTCGGTCTTGACTTCCTTTTTGAGCCGTTCGTGAAGCCCTTGCGCTGAGTCGTAAAGAATCTCACTTAGGAACTTCCAAGGTTGAATCTTCATAATAGGTGCAAAACTCAAGGTCAACGAGGAAGACAGGCTCTATCAGCTTGATTCAGCCATCGCCTCTTTACTAATTCCTCACGAGTTCTGAAATATGATTTCGTGTATTTGCCTCATTGGCCGCAACTCGCTCTCTATTGCTTTGCTTTCAACCCTCTGTAGCCACACGTAGCCAAGCTCAGAATGTATTTTTACACTTTTGCTCCTGTGTTTTGGTGTTGGAGTTTTCTTTCCGGCCTGTTTCCAAAAGCCATCATTAACTGTTATTGCGTTTTATACTATCAAGAACATCAAATCAGCTCAAAGGCTTTCAAGTGCATTGTGTCCGCTTCCAAGGCTTCCATTGTTTCCCCAAATATGATAGGTATTACTGAGTTAAGTATTACCAATTACCTTGTATTAGCTACCAACTGGTTGAAGAATCATGATAACTTAGTAATTGAGCAGGACAATTCGTCAATACCAATATATAATAGTAGACGTAATATCACAGATTGTAATCAAAACCCATCCTATCAAACTTCCTCACATCGTTCTTGTATTGTTGTTATGCTTGAGGATGTCGAGAAGGATTTAGTTGTCAATAGCCTTTTTCTGATAGGGAGCTTTCAGCACAACATGGTCAATCAGTTAGGTAACCCACCATACCGTATAGCTTTCCTTGCACTTCCAACACAAACTGTTCACTTTCCTCCTTCTGCATCAAATCCATGTGGGTATTCATCTCAGGATTATGGCAACCGATACATCAAAGCAGTAATGTGCACCTCCCTCTCGCTTAAGTGGGTTTTTCTTCAGGGGCGCACCCAACAATAAACGAACGCAATGAACAAAGGAAATGCCACAAAAAGCTTAACTTCGCCCCTTGTAAACTTTTGGTTATGGCTGCCACTTGCGGTTGAAGCAATAATTGGTTGTTTTATTGCTCTGTCAAGGAACAAAGCAGATTTAGCTAGACCACCTAGACCGTCTGAGCATGGATGATGGGGAAGGTGGTCTATTATTCATTTTTACGGATCTTTTTCGTCATTTTTTTCAGAAACGAAGTTGAGAAGGTATAAATCGTTCGAATGGCGGCTCTCCCAGCAGATGCTAGTGCTCCCATTCCTATGGGATCGATTCAAGGTCAGCCAGTAACTCCAAATCTAGTTGGTGTCGGCACTCCTTTTCAAGCTTGGAACCCCGCTACAGATACCACGTTCCATTTGTGTGACGGAGATATTCTCACTCCCAGGTTAGGAACAGCCATACCTATAGTTACAAACAAGAAATGTACATTGGATCGTCAAGGTCGAAACAGAAAAGAGCGCCTTGAATGGCGTAAACTCTCAGCTGAGGGCGGGAACACCCAAACGCGGACTAGAATTAGTCGGTACATTTTCAATAATACAAACCCTAGCCCCAACCGCCCTTACCTGCGAAATGGCCTGCAACCTTGGTTTCCTTTGCCAAATGCCGCACCAGCCTTTCAACCACCGAAATATAATGTGAATATTGTGCCAGGTTGGTATTTACTATAAATCCATTTCTTCCCATCTTCTTTCTCTATCTCTCCAGTGTCATGCCGTCAAAAATATATTTCAACGAGGCCTTTCAAGCTGATATTCGATAGGGGGTGCCAATGCAACTTTTGACGTTGCGGTTGTAGTCAATTTTGAGGACTACTATCCACGAAATGTACAAGCCGGTTGGAGCGGAGAAAGGAATCAGGAGTTCAGGCTGTGTATACGGCGTATAATGCGTGCCCTTCATCGACCAGGGCAGATGCCACCAGGCACCGCAGCAACTCCCGTCGCTCAGCCTAATTGGTGGCCGGCTGGGGCGCCTCCCATGAGCGTTGCTTTCAATCTAATTGGTTCTAGTCGTGCCCTTGGATTTGGGCATTATAACTCTGCGGAGCAGATTATGGGGGCCGTTATCTCGTGGTTAGGCGGAAACGCGGCGAGAAGAATCTTTTTCAACGATGTATTCTTTTTGATACCGACCATACGTGCTTGTAATCAGAGTGCTCGAGAGAAAACATTTGATGCTTGGAAAAAAGCATGGGAGTAAGAATATTGATATATGGTTACAAAAATCAAGCATGCGCTAATGACCGCATTTAAAGGCATTATATTACCAACACCCCTCCTCCTCCACCGCCTGCAATACCCCAGAATATACCGCTCAATTTTCTAGCTACAATTAATCAATCCAATACAGCCTTTCCCAACCTAACACCTTTGTGGGTAACTGCACGGGAAGATATGTTGGACCCTGCTCAGGTTATTGAGGATGCAGTGCCCATCAACACATTTGTAGAAACTGCTTTTGGGGCAAGAACTAGGAGCCGATACCTGGAATAGATTCACGACAAAGTCTGTGCACAAATTCAAGCATCGTAGAGGTACAGTAGCACTCAGCTAGAAGGCAAGGGATTCTATGGCGGCCCATCTCTATAAACTCTATTTCTTCCATTTAAATAAGAGCAACTTAACTATCTCAAATTATTCTTCTTATCAATTGTCGCAACATCGTTATATCCATACGTTGTTTACTGACCTGACCTGGCACTGGCATATAAATGTTTGTAGTTTAACTAGCTACCTTCTTACTTAAGCAATTAGACACCACTGAACAGGGACTGATTGCTTCAACCATTATTATTATTACTCATGTCTTTACAAGTACTGGGTGAACCACTGGGTGAACCGACGTCAATATTACCTTAATTCAACTTATGAGTATATAGCAAACACCATATTTATATTAGTTATATAGACAGAGGAAACGTATTTCATTAATTAAAGTCCCTTACAGGTAGGTATTGAACGCCTACAAATGACGCTGTCCACGTTATTAAAAAGGAAAATAGATGCTTCATATCCTAAAATGTATCATGTATATAGAGGGATGTGTCCAGGTAACATGCAATTGCTGTGTTAAAGGGCAAGGGCTTATGCTAGTGAACAAATCTCCCAGGTTGATGTACTTTGGAAACTGCCCAGATGTCCCTAGAAGAACTCCCCTGACTCTCCCGCAACCATGTGGGATAAAGCCACTCTAAAGAACCTTTTTCGAAAACTGAAGTTGTCCCATGAAACTGCTGCTGTATATCCTACAAAGAGATGGAATGAGTGAGTGTAAGAAAAACGAAACAATAATTACCTACATCTGTCTTACCTCTACTGCCTTGCAGTGTTCTTTTGTTCACAGGCTAAGTCAAATTTGGTGAATTATAGATGGGTTCGCACCACTTTAAATTCACCAAATATGGGCCATACATTGTCTTCTATATTGGCTCAGATACTTCCAGGCAAACACTTTCAACACCAACCAATAAGCTGTTGTGAAACAGCCACGCTAGTCGCAAAATGGCTAGGCAGGTAGGTAGCTTGGACCAGGTTTATGAGTCTACATATACGCACCTTGCGCACTTCTACCCTCAACATAACCCCTACTTTTCAAGGCAAGCCAGCTGTTCCCCCACAAAACAACCTGATCCAACTTAACCTCAACCACCTCACCTCAACCACCTCAATGGCGGATTCTCGTCCAAAAAAGCGTCAAAAGCGGCGGCACACCACTGTTGCGCGTCTGAAAACCCGCGAACCCCATTCACCCTCCCGCACTCCAAGTCCACATCCAATTCCACCTCAACCTCTGCCTGCTTCCAGACAATTTGTGTTATTCCAACTAGCCAAAGTAATGAAAATCAAGCCGAAAGTCTATGGTGACGTTAGTAGGTTTATTTTCCCCTGAAGGAAATTGGTCAAAGGAGGTGTAGGAAACCAACAGCCGCGTAAGTTATCCATCACCTTGATTCAGACCACCCAGCTAAGATGTCTTAACAAAGTTTCCAAACACACTGGCAAGCCCCTGGAGGCGGGTGAGACTCTTGAAGACATAGCCATGGAACCATTTGAACCTGGAAATGATTTTCCCAACGAAATAGTGAGTTCCCTACTTCTCTTTTTTCCCCATTCATGCAACTTATCTCCTACCTCGCATTGATACTGATCTCCTGTACCAGTGGGACAAAATCTGCTTTTACATGGATGATGCCACTTCCACCCTCTTTTCCTACACCTGTCGCTATGGCAAAGCCCAAATGGAGAAAAGAAAACAAGACCCCAATACTTCCCCGACGGCCTTTCCCATTTCCTTAGAACATCGCTGTCGAGATATGAATGGCTACGGTAAAACTCTGAAAAATTTGATCAATGAATTCATGGAACCAGATTACAGATTTGATTCGACGGTGAAATTTTACCGTACGACCCTCAACTTCGAAATCGCCCAACTGGATGAGGAGGCAGAGGCGGAAGAATCACTCAACGAAGCCATCATGGAACAAGAACGACGGGAAGATGCGCATGAGGCCAGATGGGAAATCTAGTAGCACGCATCCAAGAAAGGAACGAGAAACGACAACAACGATGTGATGATGTGCTAGAGTGGCTTGCGCAACAGCGTGCAGCGCTCGGCGAGGGAGAGGAATTTGATACGGATGATGCATCTGTGGTTTCTTCAGATGAAGAGTTGCCCTTACGGGAAGACTTCGACGCAGACCCCGACGTAGTCGACTATGAGGATGAGGAGGAGTACGGATGGTAGATGGATCAATTTCCCATGTAAGCCTAGTGCTTACTCGCTGGTGGCTAGCTCCTTCGATCGGTTGGCTGTTCGAGGAAGGATATCCTGAAATGGTCCTCATCATCATTGGCAAGTGTAGCATCCATTCTACAGGTAGACCAATAACGAGATAATCCCAAATCTTAAATCGTAAATCGTGAAAATCACTTCATATTACAGGAAGACCTATGGAATGGATTTGTTCTATAGAATATAGTCCAGGTAATGTCGTATAGTAAAGGTTCTCTAACTTCTAGACTATAGTCCATATAACCTCTTACTCCCTCCTTGCCTACTCCTAAATCTATACTACTTTACGTGTATTATACGTACTAAGTATATAACTCTCCTCTTACGAGCTCTATCGTATCCACCCGTCTCCCTCTTACTTAGCCTCTTTGGAAAGGTAGTATCAGGGGCTAGGAATAACTTGACAAGTTTCGCGTATAACTAAAATAATTCTCCGCTCTCACCTTTGTGTCTTCTTTTCTTCTTAATAACATACTAGGGTACTGACCCTAATGATAGTAGGAAGGATAGAATAATAATGATGCGACAATGAGGATGTAGTGGTAGTAAGTACGGCGATGGTAAGGGTATAGGCAGTAAGGGTAGCGAATTCACACATCCAATCTCAAGTCAGCTGGGGGTGTGGAGTTACAGGCACAGCAGTAGATCTATGATTTTCACGATTTGTACATTATGGTTTACGACCATCTCGTTATTAGTCCAACTGTAATCTTACAATGGGATGCCGTATGCCATCTTCGGCAAGTGAATTTGGATGAATCACAATGTCACAATCACTAGCATAAAGAACGCATCTTTCTTGGAGGACAAAATCTTTGGAATTTGAACATGTGTAATGTTAAGGCTTCCGCCAACCATCTCCAACGGATCGAAAGGCTGAACCTCTCTAAATCTCAGAAACCCCCTTACTCCTATCAAACGAAAAGGCACTTGAGGCTCCCTAGCTCATCATGCAAGCCGTCAAATCATATATACAATAGAATACTTCAACCTAGCACCTTGGAAGGCCGCTCCGCTTCTTTCCCATCCACCCACTATAAAAAGAACAACAAGCAAATTCAACCCTTCTATGTGAAAAAGAAAACGCCGGTAAATGTTGGTATCAGGCGAATAATAGCAACAATGATAAAACAAAAACTTCCAGAAGCATAGTAAAAAGATAAAAAAAACGACAAGTGAAAAAGAAGCAGCGCAGAGCGAGAAGCCCGGGCTGGTAAACAGAAGTTAAACAGAAGAGATTACGCGGTAAGCCGCAAAACAAGTCGCTAAAGGACGCATACAATGTTGGTGCTGCCGATTTATGGATATAATCGTAAAGTAAGCATATCAAATGATACAAAGGTCGCTAATGAGGGACGCAAAAAAAATGCATAGGTGATGTATGCTTGAGGGTAGCAAAGAAGCTGTGAAGTTCGTAAAGGAGTGTGTTGTGTGTGTATGTGTATGTGTGTGTGTGGTGTGTAACTTTCCAAAGTTCTTTACATAGTAGCTTGACGATGGTAGCGAGTTGAAGGAAGGTGGCCCTCGAAGACTGTGGCATTCAGGGTAATGCCTGCCGCGATAGCTGGAGCATCCTTTAGGACAGGGGTTATGGGGAGTGGTTCTTCAATTAAGGTTTGTTGGCCAATGCGTGTAATCTCTTCCTCCACATCGGCAAGGAGAGCGAACATATCGCTATCGGCATAAATTTTGATCGACTCGACACTCATTCTCGTCCGGCGTCGACTTGAAATTGTGTCAGCGGGACTACTCACAGGAACCTCTGCAGCGAGTCTACCTGGTGATTGTGACTTGATTGGGCTTCGGGGTGGTGTATTCTCCCCTGCTGAGGTAGATATCGCAGTTGGTGCGGCAGTCCCTGATGCGGGTTGCATGATGAGGGCGGCAGCAACATGCTCGAGAAGCTTTTGACGTACGCGAGTGCGTCGGTTCTCAGCTTGTTCGAGTTTACTGACCCAATCATCAATAGAACAGTCGAGTTCTGACAAGGCTTCTTCCTGCTTTAGAATAGACTCATGTGAGAAGCGAGCTACACGAGGGGAACGGAGAAAACTGCAAATTCGCTCATGGAGTTCGCGGCGCCCAGAGCGGAGAGAGCGGTGGGTTTTGCGAAGATACTCACAACGCTCATCAAGACCTCGAAGTTCCTTTTATTATGTTAGTTGCTGCTCGGGTGGAGAGAAGAAGGCATTACTTACTCTGGATAGGGCGTCGACGTCCTTACTGGAAAGAACGTCGAAACGTGAGGCTTGACCCAGGGCTTGTTTGCGGAGAGCTTCCATCTCTAGGACAGGTAGCACGGAATGCGCTTCGCTAGGACGAGTACCTTCGGGAAGCTTTTCAAAAGCAGTTTGCTCCTCAGCAGGAATCCTCTTGTGACGTGATACCGGACTTCCAGCTAGAGCTCGCTTTTTGGGTCGACCTCGATCCATGATTGAAGTTTCAGACTCGCCTCTTCGGTGGCCAAGCTGTTGTCCAGTCCCCGATTGCAATACTGACTCAGACTGTCCTCGGGTACGGGTGATTGCGGGACTCGGTCCAGCACTGGAACTAATCCATTGTTTGGGTGATGGTGGAGTTTCGGTAGATGAGGTAGGGGTAGTCCCCACGGATGAGGCGAGTGTAGAAACGGTCAGAGTCGTCGACGCAGAGCCGGGCGTAAGTGATGAACCGGATAATGGTGTGAGTAGAGTGCCTTGACTATTTGGAGAGAAGAGGTTTTTCATGCGGGCAGATTTGGGAGGTACATCCGGGGGAGTGCTCTCGGATCTCCCGCGGCCGTTTGTTGGCTTGCGAGCGAGGAATCCTGCTCGCGGGTTCGACGTACTAGGAATGAGCAAAGGAGCAAGAGACTTGGGTGAAAGTGGTCGCCGATTCGGTGAAGCAGAGTTGTTTCTACTCGATTTAGTCTTAACAAAGTTAAGTTGAGATAGTGTCTCGTCGAGGTCGTCCAGGAAATCCAATTCTGCATTTTCGTCTGGTGCTGGTCCAGAAATGCCAGAAAGCATGCTCTCGCCAAACACATGTTGACGCCAGCTGTTGCTTCCTGGTGCACTGATAGATCGTTCTTGTAGTGCTGGTCGTCCGGGAATTGTGGCTGGGGTTAAGTCAGAAAAAGCTTGAAGTGGAGTTAATATGGGGTAGGTATATTAACTTACGAGAATCCATAGGAACTTCTTGAACTGTCGTCATGGGCCCCAGCCCCAGCTCTGCTACTGGCACAGAAACTTTCCGTCGACGACCTAAACTCTGGTCTTTGGGCTTTGGCTCCTTTGATGATGACCTCGATCTCGATTGTTCCCTATCCTCGCTTGCGTTTCGTCCGACTGGTTCCTCGTTGATTGTCTCTGGGCTCTTCCTTCCGGCTGAACCAATTGATAACTTTTCTCTCGAGGGAAATAAATGAAGTTTGCGTGATCCCGATGGTTGATGCATCCTCCATACATGCTTGCTCTTTTCCTTCTCCTTCTCCTTTTCCTTTCCTTCCAAGGCGTCGGTCTGCAACTTGTTAGTTATGAGAGTCTAAGAGTCGTCTAGGAACGCACTGTTTCGTGAATTGATGGAGCTGGTGAGATCTCTCTCGCAATATAATTATTTAAACCAACGCTGTTGGGGATGCTGTGGTCGGCGTCGGCCATGAAAGCGGCGATATGGGCCATTATTGCTGTAGATTCGAGGTATCCTGCTCGATAGACAATGTTGAATTGATGATTATGGCGATGATGGGGATAATAATAGTAAAGTGTTACAAGGTCACACACAACACACACTGAAAAAGGGCGACAATAGCACGGCTGATACCTGACCTCAATCCACTGCCACAAGAACGTATAGCTCCTCACTCCAAAACCGGAAAAAATCGAGAGCGGCGGATATACTTATGAGTTGACTGACACTTGGACGGGGCCGGGGGGTAATTCTGTCTATTAAGCATCCCCTTGCACATATAAGAAGCAGATTGCAGGGAGCGGGTTGCCGGAGAAGGGCAACCCCTGACAGGAAACAGAACGCTGTGGGCGGCTGAGACGAGAGACTCCAGTCGAAGAGAGGGGCGCCATCCCATCTTCAATCTTGATCCCCCCCAAGGTGTAAGAAAGATGGCCGGGCCTTGGCTCGTCTAGGTAAATTTATCTTGGTAGGGGTGCGGAGGGTAGCGAGGGTCGGCCTGAGGGCGAGGGATGGGGATGCGGATGCCACAACTTCACAAGCGATGCCTCGCCAGGGGGGGGCGGGCAGAGCTCAAGAAAGGGGCTTGTCCCGGCTTGAAACATTTCGCCAGAGGGCCGGAGCCCTGAACACGACCACGCACTGGGCTACTGGCCTTCCCGTAGGGGTGTATTGCATCTGGAATGCCTGCTCAGGCGGAAGCCAGTCAGCCAGTCAGCCAGTAAGCCAGTGTTATACGGAGCTTCTAGTGTACGGTGGTACTCGTACCGCAGTACGTGCAGTTCGTAGAGACTCGTGGAGCAAGTGCACCGTTCGCACGGTGCGTCTGAGGCAATTCACACTGCACTGCGAGTGCACTACAACACACCAACTATCGTGATGCGTAGGATAAATGAGTTTGTAGTTTGGACGAGCATATCCGCTGCTTCTCAAACTCTCCCCCTCAAACTCGTCCTGACATTCGACGACTGCGGCAAATTCCAAAATACAGTATTCGCCTCCTTTGTTGAGCCTCGCAATAATTGATTCTAAATGCCCCAATTTTGGAATCCGAGCTCTTTCATTGGTCGCTCCGTTCGCTTCGGGTGGCGGAGAGGCGAATTGCTCGAGAATTTGCACAGACGTCAAATTTGGGTTGAGCTGTGATGAAAAATCCAGTGGCCAAGGAATGGCCCAAGGGCCTGCATCGACGGTTAGTCAAAGACTGGACAACGAGAGTAAAGTTTGGTAGAGTAGGTAATACTTTTTATTTACAGCTCACCATTAAAGTAAGAACGAAGTAATGGTTATGGATTAACCTTCAGCCAACAACTATTCATGAATTCGTCTAACGTACGGAATTTACAAAATCTGGTTGCGACTCAATACGCCCATTGATGGTCACAATTTCTCGTAATTCCAGCTTCAGTTGCATTAGAGCTAAAGGCAGTCTGGTGTTGTCTCCACCAATATAATCCGGCCTTTGCCCCTGCTTTTTGATCATCATCAAATTCCACCGACCCAGTTTGCATGATTGAACATTTCCAGTACCATTCAACATGACATACTGACTCGTGGACTCGGGGAACAGATAGCGCTCGCAGCTTCATCATTTTACGGGGAAAGAGAAGCTGAGCTGAGCAAGTCCCTTAGGACTGTAGTTTACCTCACTTATCGGTAGCTGCCGAAATTTTAAAGTCAAATTGTAAGTCTGAAACTTCGAGAACGAATCAATTGTTTGGTTGACTAATAACTTTGGTACTTCTGCATGTCATCCTCCGTACTCGTAAATGGTTGATCATCTGATCAGAGCTCCTTTGATTTCTCCTGAAGATTCACATACTAGTAAATATTAACCACAATAAAATGCAAAATTGACGTTCTCCTATTCAGCACTTCCAGGACTTTTTTTCACCAGACTTCGGTTACAGTAAAAGTCTTCCTGCACTTCTATCACAAAAACCTGGCAGAATTCTAGGCGCGGGGCAAGGAACTTCTTCGGGTTAGATGCGCCGTGCATGTCTGTGCGATGAGATGACAGGCACCAGGATGGATGAACCTCAAACCATGATGGTCTCGCATGGTCCCCGTTCACAAAATAACTCGGCCTAACAAGCGTATGTCTGAAAATCATAAACAGTTATGTTTATACACTACTTCTATTCCGGGTTTTACTCAGAGTAACGTTCGTTTACTGCTTGGCCTCGTGGCAATCCCGCTTGATGCTTCATCCATTCTTTTCGTTTGAGCTCAAAGAGCGGGGAAGATCGTCAAAGGTATTGTGGTGGTTGGGAGAAGCAATGGACCTTTAAGATACGAGGACTACAATTGCCACCTTTTGAAGGATGCGAAACAAACAAGGCATTAAAACAGGCTTCTTGGACATGCTTTTCCTACCTCTGTTTACTTGAGGCTAGAGGAGCTCTAAATATTGACGTATCGAGTACATCCAAGTCAAGTATCTTCAAGTAATCTAATTGACGCGGCCCCGCGGGGCATATTCAATAATAAACTTCAACTAAAGTCAAACCAAGTCAGGTCGCCCTCCATTCATGATCAACGACGGCCCGCATTGCAGCTAATATATTAGGATAAAGGCTTGTTTCCCCGATTTATATAGTTAAAGATGTGTTTATCTTGAGCCTAGGCACAACCATGCCAAAGACACGTTTTTAGGTTATTAGACTGCAAAGTGAGGCAAGGTCTGTCCCTCCGACTGCCGACTGCCATTGATAAGAAAAACGCTTTCCAGGGTCACCTTCTCCCGGGAATATCCATCTCTATTCTCGCAAAATTCGGGAGTTCGGGAGTACGAAGTAGATGGGCTGAGAGCGGAAGCAAGTTCGTTATTAAATTATCAAGAACTCTAAACCCTTCGATCATGTACGTAGGGACTTCCTCTGATTATCGAATCCTCGTCTAATTCATGCACTTGAGCTCTGGTAAAGTCACAATCACACTTACTGTGCTGTACTGGTATGTAGGTACTAAGCTGTACAGTAGTTTTCCCCTCATTAATCCAGGCACCAGAGGCCCAAACTCGATGCGGAGGTCGGAATGCTGTCATACGCGACCGTTTGAGCAGTTTGCCATCGCGGGAGGAACATCTCATGCATTTTCCAAACAGAATCCTGCGAGTAACGAGTGCAGCCTAACGCTACCACCGCTCGAGAAACCATCCGTATGATCAAAGATCTCCTGCATCATTCATGATAAAGCTACGCTGCTGTCCTTCCCCGCATACAGCACACTATGATAAGATAATCCTATTGTGATCCTATTCCTGCCGATCGATTACTGTGGTCGGAAACGACTTAATCTCATGCACCTGAAATTCCTACATATGCAGACTTGCACAGATCTCGTAACAATCCAGTGGTGTTGGGAGAGTTTCTGCAGTCGTGTTGTCGTGTAAAAGCATCATTGCTGTCGACCTCCCTCCCCGCACAAGGTAAGGTAACCCCTCCATCATCAGAGCTCAGCTCTCGAGGGCCGTGTGCCCACCCCCACAAATTCCCCTGTACCTGATCCACAATGTCAATATGAGCAGCATTTATGAAAATCACAATTCTCCCAGACATTTATCCTTTCTCACCGCGCCCAAGCCACGCTGTGGCACATGATCTGGTGAACTGGTTGAAGGTCAAAGCCCTTCTGTCGCCACGGCTGATACATCTTCTTTGGGCTATATGAAGGCATTTCTCCTTGGCAAAAATGGGTTGAATGTACTAAAAGGGGATATAGATCTTCAATTGCATAAAGCCCAGCAGGAATCATTTGATTCGTTGCTTGGTTTCGTGGTACGGTGATACCTCATCTGTTGTTGGTTTTTGGAACGATGCGAACCTCGGGTTCCGCGGGCGGTTGTTACTTTCGGCTCCTGGTGGGCGAAAAAAGCATCAGGTATCCTTTTCTATTGCTCGATTACTGTAATTATTGCAAATCGAGTAAACCTTTTTTTCATTGTTCTACTTACTTGAACTAAGTAAGACAATCAGATGTTCAAAATATCCAGATACCTGAAAATAACTTACCTTGTCCACCAGGACACCTGCCGTAGCGGCAGTAGTAGTACCGGTACTTTGTAATATCCCACGAGAGTGTCTTAAATCTCTCTGGGATCTACTCCCTTACAGTAAAACATTTATTCTTGTCCTGAAGGTTCAGACATGTAATTCAGACGTTATTATTCCTTTCGAAGCCAAACCACTCCATCAAACCCGTTTCAAACCAGGATAAAATCAGCTGACAGCTGCTCTACTCTGTTCGTTTCGAAACAGCAGAACGGGGAAATAAAGAAACGGTACACGAAAATCCTTCATGCCGTTCAATTCTCTGACATGCGGGAGGCATCTTCATCCCAGCTTCCATGCTGTAGTTCTCAACTACCGAGCGTATCCTAGACTCTTCCAAGCAAGTCCTGCATCATTTCTGTTCAACTTCAACTTCCAACGGTTTGAAGCACGCGTATGCCATCGACGATCAGCTCATTCCTTTAGTTTCTCCGGAAATTCAGAAAGACCGCAAGAGATAGAAGATAGTGACTCCTGAGTCTTCACACGGTTGAGAAGACTATGTGGGCCTTTTCATTTTACATTTTTCCATCACATTTTGTCAACCAGGTAAAAGTGCAGATGAGGTTCCAAAACGGCAGCTTGCCCGTCGAGGTGATGGTGGTTACCAGATGCGATAAGCGAAAACGTCTTATGTAAAGTATGCATGCACAACATTCTGACCGAGCATACCGTAAGCTCTCCCCAAGATTTCTTTGCACGTACTCCAGAAAATCCTCCATCATTGGAAAAAGCTCTCTGAATCAGCAGAAAACAAGATGCTCACCAGTGACCAGTAATCTTACTCCGTACCCTCTTCCACAATTAAGCGATTCTGGGCAGGGACCCTCGGGGCATTCAGAACCACGTTTTCAACCCCACTGAACGTATTCATGTCTTCCCCACAGTGGCCACTACCAAGCTCCAAAGTGTGATAAACCCTAGTCATATAACCAGCCTTCTATAGTCCCCTTACAAGCCCCTATCCTAAGTATCCTTATCCCCATTCCCATCCCATACCGGTATCCCAAATGACCCTCCGACCTCCGAAATACTTCTACAGCCCGCAACGGCGCAACCCCATGTCGCGGATCCGGATACATCGGGCGAAACGTGGGTGACCCGAAACAAAACTCGGGCTCGTGAAATACGAACGGTGGAGGACCACGAGGCCGAGGGTCTTCAACGACAGAAAGGAAGCAAAATCGTGGAAAGAATGGCATCGTGATTTAATCTCTTGCCAGATCTTTCCCAGATGAGAGAGGGTATGGGTCAAAACGTACTTACGCGCAACGTGGATACAATAAATGGGTACATTTGAGGCTCAAATGCTTGCAAACGTGGTCTAGTTGGCAAAAACAACTTTGTTTTATGGGGAAGATATTGTAGGAGTGGATACTTGAGCTCCACTTTGCCGATTTTGGTACAAGACACCTACGGTATCGTACTTCTACTACGGAGATACTGCATTGGCTTAACGGAGGTAACGAGAGCAAAGAAGATTGTTCAAAATCGAAATACCCTCCAGAAGCTAATGACCATGACGTCGATACTTATAATTTTTTTTGGATGCGTTGTTGTGGTTTCATTGTACTCGTAGGTAGTGATAATAGCGTTAGTGGACTAAATCAGCGGATGACTCCGTACCCAAGGGGGCAGGTTTACCTGTCCTGTACCTGAGTACCTCTCCCATCTAGAAGTCTCCCGTCTAGAGGGAATATTTCATAAATCATCCCAGTGGGAACAACTGAAGTAACATCTCAAAAATTCCGGGGGTCTTGAATTTGGGCCGTCAGGACTCGGGAGAGGCGGAAGCAGCAAATGGTTCATGTCTACGACTCTGACAGTCGCAAGCAAAAGATTCGTCAATCCTCTTGAAGGCTCATCGTCTGTTCACCAGACTGTTTCAATAATGTCTTTCAACGGCACAGCTGGCCGGGTTTGTTCCCCGTTTCTCGTCTTAAGAAGAGGTCTCGACTTATTCGGCCTGGGCGCCAATTGCGCAAAATCGACGATTCAACGATTCAATTTTGTCACCGGCTGGTCAAAGAATGACTCCAGAGTCCAAAAACACTTTTATTGTTAGTACAATAAGATCGACATACATAATTATCAGACTTGAGGCTTCAAGTACTTCTGTGTGGATAGATCGTCAGGGCGGAAGGAGATACGGGATGAACGAGCGATCTTCAGTATGGGGATTTTGGGTCCTGGTGTTTGGGATGACAAACACTGTTGTTGATGTGCGGCTCTTTCTTGTCTCGGTGGAGGTTGAAGATTTTAAGGGTGGAGTGCAGAATTGTATCGGATATGTGGGTATTTATCAGTGCGTTTATCATGGCAATTGTACCTTTTGAATCGCCCACTCTAGACTTTCATACATCAGGTCAATTGCTTGCCCGCTTCTATGAAAAAAAGTCGCCGAAAGTTCCCGAGGATTCCGATCAATCTGCGAGGTCTGCTTTTGAAGTTCTGTTTCTCACGAGGCCTGGGGAATATAATTTGAAGATATTTATCTTGACTATTTTTCAAGACTACAAAAAAGAGGTGTATAATAATATGTTTTTTACACGCTTTTGTTCCGCAATTCATAACTTGAAGACATGTCGGAGATAATTTTGGTACCGAGTCGAGTTTCTGTTGGTTGAGACAGTTTTGTTGAAGAGTACTCCGTAAATATTGTTCTAGAGAAAATAATGTACGGATTATACTCGGTTGTTTGATCGACAAATGAACTGGCCCTGGTAATCAAGGTTATACTCACAAGTCTGATACGTTACTTCCACTTGCCGGTGAGAGATGTCTCTAGAATGACGGCGGCTTGAAACTCAGGAAAATAATTGGCAAAGTACTCCTTACAGCCCTAAAAACAAAAGGTAAACAATTGACCCATAGGTTTCATGTCAGATTTGGTATTGGTAAGTCATGCCAAGACCATGGTTTGGACGAGGCCATCGGCACCTACCAAGGCTTGGTATCAAGTATTAGTGGGGATCCCGAAATTTCGAGATAATGAGGTCAACGAAATCCTTGAAGAAACATGGCACGACACGCGCCATATTGCAGACTTTGCACCTCTCGAATTTTTGGTGCGAAAATTACCGAGGTACTTTTGACCAAAAAAATTCATTTCAATTCTACCACGCCATTTCAACTTCAAAGGACGAAATATTGGGCGAGTTGGGAAATTTCCGTGGAGAAGCAGGTATCAAATATTGATCACATTTAATGAAGAACATGGGGAAAGATCGACAAAAGAAAAGCCAAATTTCATTCCGCCGCCCGCGTGATCTTGTCAAAAGAGCACCTGGGGTCAAGGAGAAGAAATAGAAGGTGTAGAAGATATTGAGCTTCTATGGACGTTCGGAATCGTTCCGGATGCCCAAGAGTTATCAGAGATAACCCCATATGAAACGCAAATGTGCCATCATCTCTGACTCATTTCGTCAAAGTTGTGCTAACAATGTGTAGAGAGGCTTTTCATCCTAACAATCTAGACGCCTGCCGAAACAGCTCTGGGGGTAGAAACGAAGGGAGTAGTAACGTACACGAATGAAGACTTCTGCTATGCGTTTGTGAGATCTGTGGCTGTTTCGGTTTAAAAGGATTCCAAAAGGCAGCATAAAGAGCCGATAACGAACGTGAGTGATAGACGATCAGCATCGTCTCAGAAGCGTTTACCCAATGTTCGTTACACAGCAGAATTATCTGTCTCGAGCCTACTGGTGTCGCGCGAACCTCGAGGCACAGTAAATTCCTACGCCTCACACCCAATTGTCGATATCAAAAAGCCATATGACAGCTCTGTTTTGCAGGGGTGCTCAAAATTGTATCCCGTAAGCCGGTTCGGACGAACTATCAAAGTCAAAGGATTGAAGGATTTCTGGTATGCTCCAATTTACGCTCAATGATTGGCGCAAATATTCGATAGGAACAATAAGATTTCTTCAAGGACATGCTTGCACTTTGATGTATGGCGTCTGCACAGAAGCAGCAGGATTCACGATCGCTCTAGGGTTCAACGTTCAACCCGCTCAACATGTGGGAGTAAATGCTGCAATCAGCCAAGAACAAGCCTTGCAACATGGTTATGGTCAACTGGAATACTGTAAGCGGAAAGGCTTGCTATCTTATCTCTGTAACTTATGAAGACAACTACGAGCACAGGAATATTCCGTGAAACAGCAATGTCTCTTTGCAAGCTGCAAGGCTGGTCTTTTTCGCATCATAGGAAGTCCCAGGGCAGATACTCATGTCACTTCGTAGATGGGACGGGAGTGTTGAGTCCGCGCCACATTTCGACAATGGTAGCATTTCGAGACGGAGTAATTCTCGCATTTACGAAGTCCTTCGTCAGACAGTGTGATTGCGACTCGCAAGCGGCAAGCCTCACTCTGAAAGGTGAAGCACATGGGAGTGGGGAAACGAAGGGTTGAGTCGGCGTAGGAAAGATGAGACGAAAATGTTCCGTAGCTCGTCAAGAAATGTCAGCCGTTCACACTTATTTGATGTTTCGATGTCAGCGATGAGTCCTGGCCAGATAGGCTTGTCGTTGCGCGTCTGTGGCACGGGTTCTGCGTGACATTAGAATCCAGCTAATCATTGAGGTGAACTACAGATAAAGATCTGACAGCGTAAGTAAAGCACAACCAACAATGAGAAGCGAGGGTTGAAAAGGGGGTTAGCCGCGGGACGAGTTGACAGGGCCAGGGCAAATAAACGAGGCAGAGCAAGCCATCTTTCTTCGGCTGAAAAATCCAGAGCCCTGAAAACGTGACCTGAAAGCCGAGGCAGCCATAAATAGACTTTGTGACCCGAAATGTAGACGAGTCTAACTGAATCAGGCAGGAGGAACGTTCAACATCACGCTCAGAAGGTGTTTCTGGTTCTGCAGCTGTCCTTCATTTCGTAATATTACTCGAGGGCATTCCTTCCACGTTCCAGAATAGAGTCGATGACTTCATTGCTCTCTTTCGCCAGAAAAATACGAGCTTTGACATCTACCCCTCACAAGAGCCTCCGTCCCCGCGATCGAATGCTTGTCAAAAACACATTCACGATCAACATGCAGCCTCCTCGGGATCCCAATACTTTGTCCAATTACAACCACTGGAAAACCAAGAATACCTTGGCTGATCTGTCTGTGGACTTCAAAAAGCAGTGCCTCAAGGGCAGTGTCACGTTGCAGCTGGAATCCATCACCGAGAAGGAATCTGAGGAGATTGTCCTGGATACCAGCTTCTTGGATATCCAGGCGATCACGGTAAATGGAGAGAAAACCAAAGATTGGACGGTTGCCGAAAGATCGGAGCCTTATGGTAGCCCTCTTTTGATCAAGGTTCCAGGCGGAAAACCAAAGGGGCAAGTTGTCGATGTCCAAATTGCCGTGTCCACGACGGAGAAATGTACAGCTCTGCAATGGTTTTCGGCATCTCAAACTTCCAACAAGAAATTCCCGTACATGTTCTCTCAGTGTCAGGCAATCCACAATCGATCTCTCTTTCCTTGCCAAGATACTCCAGATGTGAAGAGCACTTATACCTTCAAAATCCGTTCACCCCTACCAGTTATAGCTAGTGGGCTTCCAACTGGGTCATCATCTTTCGAGCATGGCGAAAATGGTGAGCCGGGCACATTGCTCTACTCATTCCGTCAAGATATTCCAATGCCATCATATCTGTTTGCCTTAGCATCTGGTGACATTGCAACTGCGTCCATTGGACCAAGATCTCTCGTTTCTACCGGCCCCGAAGAGCTTTTGGCTGCAAAATGGGAGCTGGAAGAAGGCACCGAGAGATTCATTGAGATTGCAGAGAAGTTGATCTATCCTTATGCGTGGACTCAATACAATGTTCTGGTATTACCTCCTAGTTTTCCCTATGGAGGTATGGAAAATCCGGTATTCACGTATGCTACCCCGACTGTCATTAGTGGTGACCGAGAGAACGTGGATGTCATTGCTCATGAATTGAGTCACTCTTGGAGTGGAAATTTGGTTTCAGCAGCAAGTTGGGAACATTTGTAAGTTTTGTGATTTTATTGTAACAATATTTTCCACTACGCACAGTGATTTACTGACTCTCAACAGCTGGTTGAACGAGGGCTGGACAACCTACCTCGAAAGACGCATTGGAGCCGCTGTTCATGGAGAACCCCATAGAGACTTTTCAGCCATCATTGGATGGAAGGCCCTAGGTAAGATCTCAAAGGCATTGATTCGATTTCAACTATACTGACCACATGCCAGAGGACTCTGTTAAGCTTTTCGGTCCCGACCATGAATTCACCAAGCTTGTTGTTGACCTCAAAGGCAAAGATCCCGACGACGCATTCTCCACTGTTCCATACGATAAGGTCAACTTCTAACTCACTAATTTGTTTGTATTTTCAACTAACCTTCTTAGGGGTTTCACTTCCTTTACTACCTAGAGAAGCTCGTAGGAATTGACAAGTGGGATAAATTCATTCCTCACTATTTCACAACCTGGAAGGAGAAATCTTTGGATTCATACGAGTTCAAGGCTACTCTCCTTGACTTTTTCGCATCCGACAAGGAAGCAGCGACCAAATTAGAATCTGTCGATTGGGATACATGGTTCTTCAAGCCTGGACTGCCACCGAAGCCTGATTTTGATACCAGCATGGTGGACAAATGCTATGCCTTAGCTGATAAATGGGAATCAAAAGTACGTCAAGCAAGGCCCATTTTTAGATAATGATCTAACACTGCACCAGGATTACGTCCCGAAAGCCTCAGACATTGAAGGCTGGGCTGCAAACCAAACAGTTGTCTTCCTCGAAAAGGTCCAGAGCTTCGAGACACCAATTACTCCCTCCCAATCCAAGGCAATGGGCGAAGCGTACTCGCTAGTCAACACCCGCAACGTTGAGCTCTCAGCCAGATACTTTGGCATCGGCATGACCAGCAAGGATGAGAGCGTTTATCAACCCGCCGCAGAGCTTCTAGGTAAGGTGGGTAGAATGAAGTTCGTCAGACCGCTGTATCGAAAGTTGAATGTCGTTGATCGTACCTTGGCATTGGCGACCTTTGAGAAGAATAAGGATTTCTATCATCCGATTTGTAGGGGGATGGTGGAGAAGGATTTGGGTCTTTGATTGATGAAAAGTTCAATGGGATGCTTGCGGAGGCCTCCATTTGGTTGTATTTGCAACTTAAAATGCAAAACATGGAACATCAATTCAAGTACACACGAGTCTACAAAATGCATTTGATTCAAAAGTAAGATACTATTTGTTTGTAACATCGCTGAGGGGTATCTCGTACACTCCTTGTATTTAACAACGCCCTTTAGAGGAAAATTGCGAAACGCGATTGCTTGTAGCCAATACAGTAACATGAGGAACTCTTCCCTGTATCTTCATTGAAAAAAAGAGTCACATCGCAAAGTTCCAGCCAACAAGAAACATCCTAGTCACAGGCCCCATCTGTACAGCGGTTCCTTTCAGCGTCAGAGAAACTCTCACCATAAACCGGCTCCGCAAGCGGAATATCCTCCTCATCATGTTCAAACACAATTCCAAAATCGTCCTCCTCTTGCTCCTCATATATTGTTGACATGCGACTCTTAAATCCCTCTTCAGACTCTTGATCACTTTCCGGATCAACATACGTAATATCCTCCTCCTCCGTCTCATCATCCGACTCATCATCCTCATCATCAAAGCACCCCTCTGCGTTCCTCGCCAAACGTTGAAGTTTGACCGCCTGATCACAGCGTCGTTTCTTCCGCCAGAAAGCGTCTTCATCCTGAACGTTCATCAGGACGAAGAGATCCTCCAGTTTGGTGGTGGTTGGGCTGTCGGCGAGGAGGATGTTGATCTCGTTGCGGAGTGCTGGGGGAAGGTCAGAGATGTTTAGGGGGAGTGAGACGGCTTTGAGGTAGTTTAATTTGTGGAAGTGGACGGGTTTTTGAGTTGTGGGTTTGTCGTTGAAGCAGACTGTGTTGTTCCATTGGACGGTTTTTCGTGGTGTGGCGGCCTCTTGGATGGTTTCTGGACAGGTAACGAAGGAACTTTGTTCTGTGGGTGGTGTGGAGAGGCGTCTTGTTTGTTGTGAGGTATTGGTGTCGAAAAGTTCGCCATCGGAATCGATGTCGGAATCCCAGTCGCTATCCATGTCTGAGCTTTCAGACCACTACAGTGTATTAGCTCTGTATTCTTTTTGCCCATCTTGAAGGGATAGGGACAAGAAAACAAACTTACATCTTTGCTGAATTGATGGCGGAGCGCAACTATTGAGGGCAAGACGCGTAAAATTTCAGGGGATAGTTCTGAGATCGGTCGACGAATGACAGCAAGAATGCCAATTCCTGGAGCATCTTCGCAGTCAAGTAAAAGAGGGATCATGGGAAGCTCAACGGTGTAGTCATCCAACTCTTTACGGAGATCCTGAATGACTTGAGGTATGCATTGCGACTGTTTGAGGATGCCTTTGAGTGGTGTCTTGATCGGTAGACTTGGAGTGGCCATTTCGACGTGTGTTGTTTGTTGTTCAACGACCTTTGAATTTTTGGGAGAAAAAGGAGGAGATCGGAAAGATTCCAAGAATATTTGAATTTTCTTTGTTCTGTGTGCGTGTTGTCCGTCGGATTGAAGTGAAGTGAAGTTAAATCAGAAGTGATTCAAATGTGAAGATGTAGAAGAAGCGAGCGCAAGTGATCGGCGGACTTGTGCCCTTTACGAAGCTCAGAGCTAGTATTGTGTCGAGATAAATGAGAATGACGAGTGTGACGTGATGAAAGGCCGCTTCTCAGATAATGATTTTTCAACGGCTATCCCATGTTCTAGTTCCAGGAACGGCTTAACACTGGTAACCACCTAGTCAAAGACTAGTTGATCGTTGAAGAGATTTTGACGAGCCATCTTGATATAGATTGATGAGTTTGCTCAAAATTATCGCACCACCGTTTATTCGTGATTTTTGAGTTTGGGTAAGTAGGTTTGTGTTGGGTTTTGTTGTAATAATAAGAGAGTACCTGGAGTGAGGAGTGTTGCTGAAAATGTTGTGTTTCAACGTTGGCTAACTAGGAATTTTCAGCACGCTAGAACCGTTATGAATCTAGATAAACGTGACGCCAGGCTAACTTCACTGGCTCCCGTCTATAAAACGACTCAGTCAAACGTCATTTGAACAATGCCAAGCTTCCTCAGTGTAGAACAATGCTTAAGTAGTAATTCTACCAAATCAACTTACACGGTTAGAAAGATATTCACGTCAACTGTCTCTTGGAGTATGATGAATAATCAATGTAGAACTCATGGTGAATGTACACAATGTGTTTTGATCGTGTGAATGTGCTCCTTCACTATTCAGTCAGCTAAAAATACTCATAACTCAGATATCATGGGCACCAAATAACGTTTGCCTTTTTGACGTGACGTTACATTCACTATTTATGGCCTCAAACAGCACCACAATTCACAGCGTCAAAATAGTGAATGCAATCTTTTCTTAGCTAATAACCTATCTATCCATTCCATAATACCACATCTCAAAGCAAGCACGTGCGCAAAGAGTATCCTCCAACACATCGTCAACAAATCTACAGATTATCAACCCACTAACTTCCGAATGAAGCAAGAAGTGAGGTACCCTGGAGAACATACTTATCCAACCAGATATTTCAATCACAGCTACTTTCACCATTGTACAGGACGCAACCATAGTCTTGAGTCAGTCATCTTTTCCAATTTTCTCAGCGCTTCTCATGTGACAAAATAACATCAACTTAGCCTCAGACCTTTGGAACCCTAACCCATTCTACATGTTTTGTAAACATTTTGACTTATCAACTATAATACCAACTCTCATACTCCAGGTGCTACCGCCTGAAACATGTATTGAAGGTGTTCGGAGAATAAAAAGTGTATTGAGATATCTAACTAAAAGTTTAATAAGGCGTATAAAGCTCACAGGATGTTCATGGAATCACACTTGTGCTAATATGCCTACAAGAAAAAAACTTGGGAAACGACATCGCAAAATAGTTAAGAATAAGTAAACCCCTTTTGAAGTGAGGAAAGTATTATCAGCGTAGTTTACGTAACGAATGCGTGTTAGTGCTTATTATCGAATTGCGAGAAGGGATAATAAAAGAAGAGAACATTAAGGTTTACGGTATAGTTGCGGCTTTAGTAGAGAATATATTTTCATATAAGTTATAGATATAAATATCTTCTATATCCTTCGGAGTAAACTTTAATCAGGGTGAAGCACCTTTGAATAGCATTATTAGAACACCTAACCTCAGCTTAATTCTAAAATCGTAGAAGTACTAAGCTAATTATACTAGGTTCCAGTAAAAATATATATTTATATAAATAGAACATAACTAGAACTTAGTAATAGATCCTTTTTAATAAGGTTTAACTTTAATCCAGGTACGAATTATATACTTCTAATCCTTTCAGAGAATTTAGTAAAATGCCCTATCTCAAACGAGTATTTATAGTATATCTTACAATAGACACTTAGAATCTTAATATAGTACCACCTTATATACGTATTCTACGTACAGTAGGGTAATACGTTCTCGACCTACTTAACATCTACCATACCCTCCGCAGGCAACACGCCAGCTTTCCGAGTAAACAGCATCACGTAACGAACCATCAGAAAGCGCATTCATTCATTAATAACACACCGAAAAGAAGCAGGTAAATTTAAGGAGGGGATCTCAAGCATGCAGATCTCCCGCCCGCACCGACAAAAACCACTGCAGGACTCGGTAATTATCCGTATCAGAACCTGCCTTGTCCTAGCGCTGTGCCCAATCCCACCACCAGCGTTCCATGACTTGAAGATATCTTTTTACGTCCATACTACTTTGTTTAGATAGTTCATCCATTGGCTGACACGATGATGCATCCGAGGAAAACCAGATGAAACGGGTACCGACCTACTGATCCCGTGTGCCGGGAAGGAGCGACCAACTACTTGCATATCAGACCACACACAGGCCTCGAATATCCAGGAGGCTCATAAACCACTTGGCTCCCTCCTTCGCAATGGAAACTTACAAATTTTAGAGCGAGGGAAAGCGAAGATGTTTTTGTGTAGTTTGGATACTATAAAATGTTTTTCCATTGGCATATTGCTGTTATGGAATTCCGTTGGTAAGTTTAGACATGAAACAAGAAAGAACACTTCAGATGAACATATTTCCTAACATCATTCCAGAAGCACGACCTCAGATGAACCACCACCAAGCCAGATTCTACACAAACGACACCGACGACTGCAACTGCGACGACAACGGCACCGCCCTCCGAATCCTCCCCTTAGGCGACTCCATCACCTTCGGCCTCGGCGAAGCAAGCGGGAACTCCTACCGTCGCGATCTCGAATGCATGCTCTTCGCCGACGGCTACGGCGTACAATACATCGGCTCTCTTGAATCGGGGGACTGGCCGGACCGGAAGAACGACGGGTTCAGCGGGCAGCGCATCGCGGAGATTGGCACGATGGCCGATGTCGATCTCCGTGGACCCCTCTTGCCGAATGTGGTGCTGGTGCATGCGGGGTCGAATGATATCAATTCGGATTTCGACCTCGATAATGCGCCGAAGAGGGTGGGTGAGCTTGTGGACCGGATTCATACTGCGCTTCCGGAGGCGTTGATTATTGTGGCGAGGATCACGGGGGAGACGAATGAGGTTTTTCAGAATCGGATTGAGATGTTTAATGATGGGGTGCAGGAGGTGGTGGAGGCGAAGGCGAATGCTAGTATACCCGTAAGACTCGTTTCGATGGATGCGGTGGACCCGGTTAATGATACGATTGATGGGTTGCATCCGAATGAACGGGGATATACTAAGATGGCTGTCGCCTGGTTTGATGCGATTGAGGACGCGGACGATGAGGGTTTGATTATGCCTGTGACTGGGGATTTTGAAGATGGGGGGCCTTTTGCTTGTTGATATCTTTGGGTACTGGGGGTGTATTGGGGATCTAAGGAAACGATAAAGTAATGTCTTAATACTGACCAGAATCTGTTTTGTGTATTTAGTTTAGGGAGAAGCTCGATGTGGATGCATCCAACAGGTATTGTGATTATTAAGGATATATCAAACCAATAATACATTCAAATAAAGAAACTGGAAGACTGAAGGGTGTTTTGATAAGCAGAATGAAAACTCTTGGTGTCGCTAATTTGTGATGCGAGGAAAGTGTAAGCTCAAAGGTATCATGACATGTAGAATATTACTTTTCAGTTTTGGCATGCTGAGAATGAGATAGACGGAAAGGGATGGCACTGCTACTCGTAAGATTACATCTATATGATAAAGTCTGAACCTTAAATCCACGGGCATAACTCCTTGTGACTTTACAGTACACAAAGTGATCGTACCACACCCCATTCCCCGAGCTGCATATAAACTCAACTTACCCCTCCCCCCAAAAGAGTGAGGAACCACCTGTCCACTTCAAACCCCTCTTCCATCCAAGTTCTCAACTATCAATGGCATCCAAGACTCTTCCCAATGGCCTCCGCGACATCAATCGCTTCATCACCTCAACCAACGAAGAAGGGAAAGCCGTCTACTCAGATGCCCTCCCTTCCAACGCGAAATGGCAAGAGATCGGGGACTCGTTCAACTTCTTCCTGGGATACACAACTGAGAAGTTCCCCGCCTGTTTAGATCCCACAAATGGTTCCACACCAGAAGATATCGAGAAGTATTCGAAGGACCTGGAAACTCCCTGTGGTCTAGCGAAGAGCACTGGTACGTGCTCTCCATCCATCTACCTTGTACAAAGATACAGTACTCGTACCTAGAGTAAGCGTTAACAAACCCCAGGTTCCGTCTGCAGAATCGTAGATTTCGGACCGGGATTAGGACCCATGCATCGAACCATCTCGCTCGATTTCGGGATCCTTCTAGAGGGGACGATGGAATGTTATTTGGACTCCGGGGAAGTGAGGACGTTCCAGCGAGGCGATATTTGTGTCCAGAGGGCGACGAGCCATGCGTGGAAGAATGTTACGGCGGATGATGGGTGGGCGAGGATGGTGTTTGTGTTGCAGGGTTGTGAGGCTCCTGAAGTGAAGGGGGGGAAGATGGGGGAGTTTTTGGAGTATGATGGTCCGGGTGTGAAGACTTCTTGATTGGTGAGAATGGCATGTGTTTAAGCTTTATAATGGAAATGGAATTTGATATGAGTTTTGACATTCTCGATATTCTACGGACATGATGTGGTTTGATGTGAAATGCCATGCCAAGATATAATACACTCAGTAAGTCTTGATTGAGGATGGTTGTCTGGAGAGGAGACTTTTGCATCATGTCATTTATCCAAGTTCAACCAATCTTTCGTCGCATGTATAGATCATGAGCTCTCGTATGCATACCATCGGACAGTACATGCATTGTACAGTACAAGTACGAGTATATAAACATCAATGGCACTTACCCCGCGTGGTTCCTGATCTCCCCGTTCTCCCGACCAATCAAATCCACTGAACAAACAGACTGATGTAACCCATCGAAGTTGATATCGCGAGTTGTTGCGAAGAATTCGAGTCACTCTCCACCGTCTAAAATAACAATCCAATTAAACAATCTGATACAAGGCAAGGAATCCTCCATATCACATCGGCCCACAAAACACTTCCCATACATATAAAATACATAGATACAACCAGCTAACACCACCATGCACGCAGCCTCTATCCTCCAAACCCTCACAAGCGCCCTCACCATGTCCTTCCAATACGCCAACTTCCCCCAAAACGCCACTTTACCAGTACCCGACTCCTCAGGAGCCTTCACCATCACCGCCAGCGTCCCAACCGACATCTGGCGCCGACCAACCCAAGAAGGCATCCTCGACTCCTTCAACGCACCCATCGTCTACAAATCCATCCCCATCTCCCAATTCCAAAGCGCCCGCGTGACCATCACGGGGAAATGGACGACACTCTACGACCAAGGGGGACTCATCGTCGTCTTCCCCTCGACGAAGTCCCGTCCCGTGACGGAGAAACGCTGGCTCAAGACCGGGATTGAGTTCTATCAGGGTCGGCCGATGGCGAGTACCGTTGCGACGGATTTGTTTTCGGATTGGAGTTTGGTGCCGCTGGATCCTGAGGATGAGAGGGAGGGACGGATGACGGTGGAGGTGGAGAGGGAGCAAGAAGAAGATGGGCGGTTTGGGAGTGTGTTGAGGGTTTTGCTCGTGGGGAGGGATGGGAAGGGTGTTCCGGTGAGGGAGGTTACGTGGGCTTTTTATGATGTGGATGAAGAGGAGGAGATGTGGGTGGGGATGTTGGCTGCGAAGCCTACGCAGGGTGGGGCGGAGGAGTTGGAGGTTAGGTTGGAGGGGTTTGAGATTAAGTTGAGGGACTGATGGGTTACTGGAGTGAGAGATGTACAGTATCACAAGTATTGCGTGGGTTTCGCAGTTCAGAGATTTCGACAAAACCTGGTGTATTTATTCATCAGACCTCTTTGACCCCTCCATGAGCCGGATATGATAACTAAGGTCGGGTATGGCAACCAGTTAACCTCTTGAAAAAGTAGGTAAAAATCCAGACTTTTCTAGGAGAAATTGAAGAATAGATCTTTTTCGCCTGACCTCACACTCTGTATATCATACCTTCTTCGCTATGGCTTGTACGAGTTGTAATACTCAGATCCTGATATTCGGGCTTTTGGACATATGGCCAAGCAACCCCACACTCTCGCTTACAACACTCGTTGCGATTAGCCTTGCACTTTTTTAGGCTCACGTTTGTAAAGTCGTTCCCAAACCCTACTTTGCTTTTAATTGCACTATGAGAGAAGCTACTCAAGGAACCTGAATGCATGTTCTCACAGAAGTAACTGCTGTCATGGTTGGTCAGTGTGGTGTGGCTTGACTGAATACTCTAATTCTGAGGCCCAAGTCAGGCCTAGGGCGCTGAACCCCTTGCACGGACTTATTCCATTACCGAGCTACCCAACCCTTGTCCAAAAAGGTGACTCTTTCATCACACCTTAAACCATCCACTACAGAGAATACAGCCCAACACGCGATTGCGCAACCGTTTTTGAAGGAAAACCGAGTCGCAAACTTCCCACCGAGCCCCAAGGATCTCGTGAAAGCACCAGTATTTTCTGTGGCATCTGCAATCAAGTTCAACGAAGTGCGCCAATAAGATTACCCCACCAAGAAGCACCATCACAGGAAGAACCTTAAATACCAAACACATTCGAGGACTTCCAACCATTTCCGCAGTTCTCCGAGGGACTACAACTCGTGTAGCATGTCTCCTCCACAATCTGGCCATGCGCCAAACTTGAGCGTCTTCAAGAAATCCCTCAGGGCGCAATCCCTCGAATCATCCATCGAAAACCTAATTTCGTGCGTTGCGATCTCTCCCAAACGACGTGCGATGGTTAACATGTAGCAGGCTTTTGAAAAGACGGCAGATTAAGAATTCCAGGCCATGTGCCATTGCAACCGCAGAATTACTTTTGCGAGTGGTCGCGAGATTCAGATGGACCGATATTGGCAAACTTCTGGCCCGGATCCAGGAAGTTGGGCAGCGCCTCATCCAAGCCCAGCCAAGGGAGATGGTCGTGGGAAATATAGTACGGCGAGTGTTGGGTATGATCAGAGATGAAGCAAAAGAGGATAGGCATGAGGATATGAGCGATTCGGCGTCAAATATGGGCTCTCCACACCGTCGACTCGAACGTGCGACTCTCAGCGGACTCCGTGACCAACCCCCGCCTACATTCAGTCCTTTGAGATTGGATTCCTCAAAAACAACCCCACCAACAATAAATACAGATAAAGATAGCGACGATGTCTTTGGGAGCAGTGTGGGAGGGAGCAGACCCCAATCAAGCCATCGCCCACCCATGTTGACTTCACATCCTTCGTATGCCCATTTGAATGGAATTCCAGTTCAGCAATCAATGTTCAATTTACTGTCTGCCACGCCATCACCGTTGTCTACACCTCCTGGGGCAGTCTCACCTGCTGGAAAAACAACTTTCGACGCTGCCAATCTTGCATATCGAGTGGCTGCAAGTTCGAAAGACCTTAAGGCCGAGGTTATTAGTGGAATCGAAGAAATCATCGACGAGCTTGATCAAGTTGATGACCAAATCGCTGCCTACGCGCAAGAACATATCCATTCCAACGAAGTTATATTGACACATTCATCTTCAGTGAGTGTACAGAAGTTTCTGCTCAAGGCTGCCGAGAAGCGCAAGTTTACTGTGATTGTCGCGGAATCATATCCCAATGATCATGAGGCAACCCATGCTGCAGTGACTGGCAAGCTTAATGGTGGTTTGGATGGCGATGATATGAGCACGGAAAAGTTTTTGAAGCCATTGTCTTCTGCGGGGATAACTGTTATTCTCATGACCGATGCTGCAATATTTGCCATCATGTCAAGAGTTAACAAGGTCATTCTTGCAACTCATGCTGTTATTGCCAATGGTGGTTTGATTGCGGCAGCTGGAGCACGCATCATCGCAAAAGCCGCCAAGGTTCACCGAACTCCCGTGATTGTTGTTAGTGGTGTCTACAAGCTCAGTCCAGAATATCCCTTTGAGTTTGAGTCCTTGATTGAATATGGTGACCCCGGAAGCATTATTGGGTACCATGATGGCGCTTTGGTGGAGAACTTGGAGGTTGACAACCCGGTTTATGATTACGTTCCACCGGAACTTGTTGATCTCTATATTACCAATCTGTAAGTTTGGCAGATTTCTTTCCAGTTTGCTGTGCTAATTTCAATACCTAGGGGTGCTCATGCTCCGTCATATCTTTACAGAATTGTGGCGGACCATTACAAGCAGGAAGATATCAATTTTCATAACCCAGAGTTACTATTTTGATGAACCACCGAAAAATAGGACTCTACCAGCGTCGAGGGATTCGGGGATTCGATTCCGCCAAAATGCCATTATCGAGTCACGTATGAGCAGTGTGGTTCCCTCGATAGGTATCCGAGAATTACTGGGGTTTCTAATAAGATGTGTGGCCATTATATAGATCTCTCTTTATCTCTTGATATAAGTGGGAATTCATGTCGCATACCGCACCTATTTTTCAATCTTCGAGAGACTGGCGATTTATAGGTGCATGTAGACTGGCTTTGGCTATACTTGTAACCAATCTCAATATATGCAAGGCTTTCTTGTCTCACGAAAGTCGTCAGGACGAAGAAGATGCGGATGGCGAGGTCATGAAATGGGAGGCGCAGAGCATAAAGGGCGAGAGAAATGGGGAAAGGGGGGGAGGGGGGTGGTAAGGCGGAGAGAAATCTGATTTTAATACCCCAAAACTTTTAGTGTATATACTGAGAGGGCGAAAATGGACTCGTGGAAAAAGGATCCAGACTCCATGATTCCCCGCTTCGTTATTCAATTTTAGGTAGATGACTATGTAGGGGGGCATTGTTTTAAGACTTGATCCGATTCTTTGACTACCTACTGCGTACTTAGTGATATTTTCTCCGAGCCTTGCTGTTTGTAAGACGAAATTGATCCGTTGATGAGATGATAAGTGATGAGATGACCCCGGCCTCGCTTAGTCGGTGTTTGTGTTATACATATAAGGTAGTTGAAAAATATGGAGGGTACTAAGGTGAGTGAGAGGCTCTCTGGTAGATTGGATTGGATGTAATATGATGTGATATGGTCAGAGGTGGAGAGGTATAGAAACGGAAAGTGTTGTAGGTAGGTAGGAAGGAGGATAAGGGATAGAGGGCAATTTATAAGTAAGTATAATGTGGGAGTAAGGGTAGGCAGTATGGTTTATTATATTGTAGTATATCATGGAAGTATGATTAGAAAGTACGATTAGTAAGTAAGTAAATATATATCGTAGATGGCTCAACAAACGCCTGGGAAGGGGAAAACGTAATACTCGCAAGTAAATGTATTTATTCCTTTTCTGTTCTGCGTATCCATTCCCATTCCGCTCAAATATGTTCGTGAATCCCTTCATTAACAGAAAAAAACAACCCAACCAACAGCATCATTAAGCGACAAATCAAAGCCTAGGTATCCATATCTATCCATCCATGTACGTTGGTACTCCATCCAATCTTCCATAGACGCCATCACAAAAAGCTCCCTCCCATGCCCAAATGTTTCGCAGAAAAAAGAAGAGAAGAGAAGAGAATAGAATTGCCCAAATACCATGACATGACTCTTTACAATTGCACATCATTATTGAGCAATCGTACCTCCTCACCCGGCTTGAAAGCTGGCATTCCAATGTATGGACATCCATCACAACGGAAGGCATCTCCCAAACTGCAATTACCACAAGAGCCAACCTTGCCTTGGATGGTGAAATCTACCTCGGCGAGATCATCGGATCCTAGCTTGAGAGTCTTGAGGGCTTCGTCGGCGGAGGCTCGCTTGGCTGCGTCTTCAGCTTGGAGCTTTTGTGCGAGACCACATGTGCAGTCCTTGCATGCTCGACGGCGCTTGCCAACTCGAGGAACACACTCTGGGGCTGGGTTTATATATTAGTAGGGTCCTGAAAATGGGGGTGGAAGGGACTTACGAATCTGGGCAGGTCTCTTGAGATCCTCCTCAGTAAGAAGAGTATCCTCATCAATAAGCTCATCATCATCATCGTCCTCTCCAGTAATCATAGGATCATCAAAATCATCGCTAAAATCAACGAATCCCACTCCAGCAGGCTTAACCTCCACTTGTGTAACAGGAACCGATACAGCAGGAGCTGGAGCAGCAGTCGGAACAACCTTCTCCTTTCTACGTAGCTTCAATGGCATGGCCACACTTGCGCTATAGTCTGGCTTAACCATTCCACCACCCTCCGCAACCAATCCCGCAAGAATGGATTCACGGTGCTCGTCACCTCCAACTTGCTGTCCAAATGTTCCATCTTGTGCCTCCAATTTTCCACCAGTCTTCATGGCGCTGACAATGCGGGTAAAGACATCGCGACCGAGTAATTGGGAGGATTCGGTGCGTGTACCATCAGCGTCGGTGAGGATTAGGATGAGATCGTAGGTGGAATAGGGGAGGGTGACAAAACCAGCAGAAAGACGATCTAGCATCTGCAAGTCAGTGGAAGATCGGTCGTGGGTGGCGAGGACATTCTTGAGGGTTTCTTCATGACTGGAGATGGAGGGAGGGGCGAGGAGGAGGGTTCTGGTGGTGTTTGGTGTTGTTGCTGCGATCGGATTGAAATCGGACTCATTGTCTAGCATGAGTGAGGGGCTCATGTTTGCGACCGACTGACCGATTCTGGCCAAAGAGAAGGGTTGTGTAGATGTGGTTGATGCAGAGAAAGTGGTGGGAGAAAGTAGATTGATTTTCGTAGAGAAGGTGTTTAACAAGGACCGACAAGAATGTTGGTTAAGTTGCGCGGAGATGTAAAGGCTCAAGTTAGTCAAGTCGCGTTTGGTGAAATAATTAATCAGCCCTTGTTTTCTAAATTTCTCCGCCTATGGAGGGGCAACATGAACCAAAGCGTAGCTGGTCTTAGTCGGTGGCTGTAGCTGTACGGTAGCCGATATTTCTGCCTACTCCGCCACTTAGTGGCTCTGGTGCTCTTCAAGGATGACTAAGTACTACGGTAGTCCATAAGCTCTTTGGTCTACATACTGTCTTATCAGTGCATACTCATGATACTGATGTACTAAGCACCTACTTAGTTTCTCTTAACCATCAATTCACCGATAATTAAATCTGTTTATTTTGTCCTCCGCAGTGAATTATTATCCCTTTATGCTTTCTTGTTTTAAATCTACAGCTTAATAGTTTTTCTAGATTGTGATTCACAATACAAGCCCTTCTAGTACTTTCTCCAACTTCTTCTCCACAGCGTAAATGCGTCACTTTGCAGGGGGCAAGCGCTATCGTTGGCACTAAGCTACTAGTGGGACTAGTGACAAGCTACCCCAGATTGATCCGACTCCTCTGGAACAAAACATCGTCATAGGGAGCAAGAGCACACGACAGCAGTACCAGCAGCATCCGACCAACGCTTGTACCTGAGCAATGCCCAATGCTGGGAACACTCAAGCACCAAAAAGACCCTTGAGGAGGCTCTAATTGAGTCAGCTATCATGCTTATGGGATTGAGTTCCTTATTCAGTAGATACTCGTACGAGTACGAAGGATTGGTGGGTGGGTTACTGTACCTGTGGCGTGAGAGTGAGAGTCAAAGGGAGCAAGAGCCACACCCAAGTGGTGCAAGCACTGACTCAATCAATGCGTGATACTGAACAAGATGGGATGATTGCAGCTGCAGCTTGTTACCCAAGTACAGTACCTAAGGTAACGGCTGAAATACTACAAGAGATGGGAATAGTTACAAAGACAATAGGAAGAGTATAGTATTGAGGTTAGATATACTAGCATCGTTCTGAATGGATTCAGCTACGTTTCTTATTCCCAGCTACATCTCTCTTTCACTTCCCTCTCCCAATAAGAAGGTTTCTCTACCATGCCAGGCCCAAGCCACACTTACCCTTTCTTGATGTCTCCTGCTGATCGGTCACGCGATATGGTCTAATAGCAGGGACCTACCCCTTCTGCAAGGTGTCGTACAGCATCTGAGGCACTTACTTTCGAACCTCCTCTTCTTCTTAAACATCATCCTGCCTCTTCCATCATCAATCAATCAACACCATCAGTCAAGATCACTCTACTCTCGCAGATATCAATCCCTCAATCCATCCTACACACCTTCAACCATAAACATCTCACCTCCTTCATCAGTAAGTAGGACCTCGAAGCTTGTTGTGGTTTTTACCCCTCCTTCGCCGGTGCTCCCGTGCCAACTCCAACCTCGATTATATACTTACTTACCATCAATTGAACAGTGGGAAAGACACACAAGATGAACGACCGTGACCATGCCGGTCTTGCAGACGGCACTGCTCTCCCAATCGAGCATCTACCACGCTACTTCGCCAAGTCAGGCCACGCCGACGCTGACCCAAAGAAGTCCAAGAAGAACGGAGCAGGTAAAGGCGGATGGTAAGCCCTATTCTCCCGTCCCCTTCTATGTAAACAAACCTACTAACAAACACCTCAGGGGTGTCAGCGGCGAGGAAGTCCAAGACGAGGGATTCAATCTCAATAACGCCCGTCGTCGCTCCAACAGCAGCAGCTACACCGCCGGCCTCAAGGACTTCAAAACCAAATTTGAACACATCGAAGCCGACCCCGTCTTCGAGGAGGATCTCCACGGCGCGGAGGAGGACACACCCGTCAGACGTGTCAACACGGATAGCTCTGCTAGCAGCGTTGACGAGGAGGAACACAAGAAATAAATCTTCACCATGCAATCTTGTCATTGATTGGTCGGGGGATCTAGCGGTCATGTTATACCTTTGCTATGCAGGCATTGCATCCGAAATTGAGGGTCTCGAATAGGCGATGGATGGCGGTATCTTTTTTCTCTTTTTCAAACCTTTGCTTACGAAATGAATGGCCTAGCGACGTTATGGGTGGGAGTGAGAAGATAGTTGAACTGGAACTGGTGGATATAAAGACCAGCATGTACTGTACGATTACCTAGCTCCTAGCTACTCAAAGGCATAGAGGAATTTGCCCAGTAAAAAGTAAAAACCACAGACTATCCCCTCTTGTATTCGTGATTGTTATTACCTACTTCCCATATCTCCATGATCTCTCTTCCACCTCAATTATCTTGTCATTGCTGTCCGAAATATCACAACTTCCCATAGAAAATGGTGTCATGACCCATACTTCAAGGCATTAAAACGTATGGTATATACATGACCAAGACCCCGGTCCGAACCCGGGCGGGCAAACCCCGCTCGACCCACCACCGCCACCTCACCTCAGGTGGTCCACTTTTCTACTCCCCCGCATTTTGTGACTAATGTGTCTTACAGTAGGTCCTCGACGCGTACAGTACCTATGGGGCGTCGTGCTACAGTATCCTTCAGAGAAATCTGGAGAAGAAGTACGGTGTATAGGAGTGATATGAAGGGGGCGTCGAGATGACCGAGTAGGTTGGGGATCGGGGTCGGGGTTGATAGGGATGGGTAGGGGTTGTGGTGTCGGGGGTTAAGAGGGAAAGGGAGGGAAGGGGAGGGGAAAGGAAAGGATATTCCCCGTCCACGTATTCATGTACGAGTACCGACGGGCGTGGAAGCTCGGGAAGCCCGGTAGACTCGCGAATTTGGAAGGCTCAGGAAGGCTTGTTATATGAAGTATATGATGTGGACCTCCTGGGCCTGGATAGGTGGAGGTAGAGGTGGATTAGGGAGTTCTCTTGTGAGTCTTCTGAGTTTTCATTTGTATGAAGTAGGTAAGTTTAGGGGGTTTGAGTTCAGGACCCCTTTTTTTGAGAGAGGGGGAGAGGGGGTATAGGTGATGGGGATGGGGGATGGGGGATGAATTGGAAGATGTGGATATAAGGAGGTAAGTTACTTATTGTGTTACGGTGTATACCTCGACGCTGGGAGGGCTTGGAAGCTGATGTATATTATAGGTAGGTAGGTTAATACCTGAGATACCACGCGAGGACCTACGAATCTGAGTACAATACAGCACCAGAGGAATTAACCTCCATGTTTTAATACCCCTGGGCTGCCTACGAAATACTCTAGAGGTAAGCGGAGATATTAGTACTATAATGGCACCTACGGACTGTGACGACACGTACGATATGTTGCTCAAGGAGCGTCCAAGGTGTAGGTTATGGAATCGTAGAACTGTCTATTCAAAGATTCTAAGCTAAGGAGAGAAGAGAAGAGAGCAGAGCTCGGGAGCCAGAGGTTATATACAGGAGGTTGTGCCAAGCTATGGCTAACTGAGCCGGGCTCAGGAAGCACGGTGTCCGCTGGGTTCCAGCCAGGGGCTGGTCTGAGGTGTAGTGGCGGTTAGAACCGTCACACGGACCGCCTACGGCGGGCGCGGAAAGGTTCGTCTAGGGTAACGACTTGAGGTATGAGGTATGAGGTATAAGGTATTAACTTCTTAGTTAGTTACCTACCTACCTACCTGATCTGCTTTGGTTTGTTCTAGGTGCCAAGTAAGTCTATTCTGAATTCCTAATGGGGGACTAGAGGACAGGAATAAGGTCTATCTAGGTTCTTTGGAGATTTGATTCTATTATCATAGGGAAAGGGATAAGATGGGATGGGAATAAGAGGTTGAAAATGATGGTTTGGTGGATATATTGTATAGTATGTATATTTATTATACCTATCCTATCCTACCTACTTACTTACCCTCCCTGAAAGGCTGAAATCCTTATATATTACTAGACTTAGACTTACCCCTCGCTTAGCTTAGAAAAATATAACCCCGGTGACCCGTATGTAGGGAAACGCTATCTTCTTTGAGCTCGCCATTACATACGTACCCCCTTGGATGCGTGGGCTCACTCGGGTAGCGGAGATGGGTATGTCCTGGATCTTTTTATTAGTTTTGAATCTTTATCCCTTTTTCCCTTCCTTTTGGGAGATGGGATTCTGGGGAGGGGGTAAGGTTCTGGGACGAAATTTTTGGGTTAGGTTTTAGGGTGGTGGGTTGTGGGTTTGTTAGGTTGGGGTTTGGGGGTTTGTGGAGGGAGGAGGGGGGGATGGGGTCTTAGTAGGAGGTTAGGTGATTTATTAATGGATAATTGAATGGGATATTGATGATGTGTGAATTCTTTGTAAAGCAAATTTGGTAGTTGGTATTTGATACTAGTATAAGGAATCAGGTTTTCTATCTATCGTTTTCATCGTGATTATTAGGTTGTATAGGTGTGTAACAGTTTCGTTTCTAGGTTGGAATTGAAGATTTCAAGAGCTGTCGATTTGCCTAGTGCTCGAAGTAGTTATAAGGGTTAAAGATGTAAAATAATCAGTGCCCTGCTTTTTAAGGGTGTCTGTTTGATTACTTAGAAAAGAGTGGAGAATGTGAGTAGAGTAGCTAGACGATTAATAGCCCTGGTACTTATTTATCCATTGCTAGTACCAGATCACGTGAATAAACATGTGTGGACATTGGGGCATGAGGAAGGAACTGTCCTTGAAGTGGAAGAATGGATGATTGAGAGAAAGAATTGTGAGTGCTTGAAGTAACCGAGAAAAGGTGAAGTTGAAGGCAGAGAAAGAAAAAGTGAAGATTCACCCGAAGTTCTCCCCGCGATAAGATAAGACAAAATCAAAATATTTTGCTCCCTCAACTACCCCTCCATACCCCTCCATCTCTCAAAACAACCTCCCAATAACCCCCCCCCCCC